ATTGAGGGAACTGTAGGAGTCAAGGATACTACAAGAAGACCTACAGAGTGAACTGACCTGGGCCCTTGGGGCCTCACAGAGACTGAGCCACCAACTAGAGCATGCGTGGGCTGGACCTCAGTTCCCTACACATATGTAGCAGATGTGCGGCATGATCAACATGTGGGTCCCCTCACAGCAGGAGTAGTGTCCGTCTCTGACTCTGTTGACTGCCTTTGGATCCCTTTCCTCTAGCTGGGCTGCCTTATCTGGCCTCAGTGGGAGAGGATGCTCTTTGTCCTGCTGTGACTTGAGGTGCCAGGGTGTGTTGGTATTCCTTAAGGGGCCTCTCTTCTCTGAAAAGGAGAGGAGGAAGGGGAGGGAAGGATGCCATGAGGGCAGGAATTGAGGAGAGGAGGAGGGGCATGGCTGAGATCAGGCTGTAAAGTGCTTAAGTTAAAAAATTAAGGGAAAAACAACAACAAAAACCAAATGTATCTTGACAGCAGCAAGTGTCCATTCCTGTGCCCCAGGCAACCACTTTAAACTCTCAGTTGTTTTTTCTGGTGTTTATGTCTATGTTTTAAGTAATGCTTTTCCCTGTTTCCTGTAATTGAGAGGTTTCTTTTTTTAAATTTTAAAATAATGTATTTAATTTTATTTTATGTGCATTGCTGTGAAGGTGTCAGATCCCTTGGACTTTGTGTTACAAACAGTTGTGAGCTGCATTGTGGGTGCTGGGAATTGAACCCAGGTCCTTTGGAAGAACAGACAGTGGTCTTAACCACTGAGCCATCTCTCCAGCCTCTCTTTTTCTTTCTTAAAGATTTATTTATCACATATGTTTGAATGTTTTGCCTGCAAATATGTATGTATACCGTGTGCCCATGGAAATCAGAAGAAGGTGTTAGCTCCCCTGGAACCCGAGTTACAGATGGCTGTGACCCACCATGGGAATGTTGGGAAATGATTTCATACCCTCTGCGGCAGCAACCAGTGCTCTCAGCAGCTCAGTCATCTTTCCAACCCCTTAGAGTTTCTTCTCCACAGGTAGCTGAACTTTCAGGACATCAGGTTTTTATGCCACAGCTGTTGTAGGGCTCTCTCACTTGGACAGTAAGATTGTCAGAACCCAGAAGTTGAGACAATTACTTCACTGTTCCTTGTTAATGTTAGGCTTGGGAAAATCCAATTTTTCCCATGTGCTCTCTCAGTTCTCACCAATAGTAGTCGTGTCCCACTACTTTCCAAATGGCTGTGGTTCCCCACTTTTTGCTTCTTCAGCTGTCTCCACACTCCAGCTGATGACTTCCTCTATTACGGTTTGCCCCTCAATTTGGTAATATGCCTGCTGTGGTCACTTCCCAGGAATTGTCTTCCCTCAGTTGGGATCAGTCAGTGCCATGGAGGGTGGTGAGTGCGGTGTCTGGGCCTCGCTAGGGACCATGGACCTGCCTTTCTCTTTTTAGGTGATTTGCTGGTATGTGTTCTTCTCATTTGTTGCTTCACACAGTAGGCCTTCACCGTAGGTCAGCTTTAAAAAGTCATATATTATTCTAGTAATTTCTCCCTCTCTTACCTGTTTTTTATTCATTATAATTATTGTTGTCATGGGGGGTAGGGTGTGTGTGTGTGTGTGTGTGTGTGTGTGTGTGTGTGTGTGTTTGTACCTCTCAGGAGATCTCTGAGAATTACAATCATAAGGAATTTGTGGCTTTGTCATTTTGTCATGACTTTTTTCAGTATCCTTTATATTCATCCTTTCTCTGTGTAACCCTGGCTGTCCTGGAACTTGCTATGTAGACCAGGCTAGCCACAAACTTAGAAATCCACCTGTCTCTGCCTCCTGGGTGCTAGGATTAAAGGAGTGCACCACCACTGCCTAGTTTAGCTTCATCCTTTTATGTTAGAAAATTATTTCCTTTAAAAAAAAAAAAAGGTCAGTATTTGCCAGGCATAGTATGCATGCCTTTAATCCCAGCACTCAGGCAGTGTGGGCAGGCAGATCACTGTGAGTTCAGGATCAGACTGGTGTATATAGAAGCTCCAGGCCAGCCAAGATTATACAGTGAGATTATGTTTCAAAAAGTAGCTGGGGGGGGGCTGGCGGGGAGGTCAGTATTTGTTTTTGTCAACTTGACGCAAGCTAGAACTATCTGGGAAGAGGAACCTCAATTGAGAAAATGCCTCCGTCAGATTGTCCTGTAGGCAGATCTGTGAGGCATTTTCTTGATTAATGACTGCAGAGGGAAGGCCCAGCCTCCTGGAGCAGTGACCCCCCCCCCCCCCGGACAGTATTAGAAAGCAAGTTGAACAAGCAGTAAGCTTGTTGATGGCCCCTGCTTCAGTTCCTGCCCTGAGTTCCTGCTCTGGCTTCCTTTAAAAATGAACTCTGATGTAGAAGTGTAAGACAAATAAACACTTTTCCTCTCCCAAGTTTCTTTTGGTCCTGATGTTTATCACAGCAACAGAAACCCTAACTAAGACACGGCCACCTCATTCTTCTTTATCATCTTTATCCTTGATAGAGACTTCGATCCTTCCTACCTCTTGGCCATTTTGTGGTTAATGTTATGGTAGAAATCCAAATATCTCTTTTAAGACACCACTTATAATTCTTTGCGGTATATGCCCAGAAGAAGCATTGGTGGTTACAGAGTAACTCTGTTTTTAATTTCTGTATGGCATCTGTCTGTAGTAGTTTCCATAGCAGTCACACCATTTTTCATTACCACCATCCACCACTCTTCACCAGAGCATCGGCAGCCATTTCTGTGGTGTACGTTTCTCACAGAAAATAGAAGTTCAGGTTCATCATCCACTGCAGTGTTTCTGACAGCTGGTGCCTGGGAAGGAGATCATTTGCATCTTCACACAGCCAACTGCTTAGAAAGTACCTCGAGAAAGAGCTGGATTTAAAGTGTTGATCCTCCTGCTTCAGCCTCTCCAGTGTCTTGGAATACTGCATATTTTTATCAGAGTTCCTGTTTTTATATGCCCTTTTATTTAGTAAAATTTAGGGCAGAAGTTACTAATTTAGTTTTTTTCTCAACATAATATTTTTTTATCGATTTATTTGGGAATTTTACATCATATACCCCACTCCCACTCATTTCCCAGTCCTTCCATGTCCATCCCCCCCCCATCATGGTAACCTCCCTGCAAAAGACAATAAAAAATTAAAATTGATAAAAAGAAAATGAACAACAAAATTCATCTCGCCAACAACCTCTAGGCTGCAGCCTGCTCCTGTATCATCTTTAGCCTTCTCTCAATCCATCATACCTGCCATGCCTCCAGTTCTGCCATGCTCTGTACCACTCTGCTCCCTCATCTTTCTGCCTCTCCGTCACAATTCAGCATTGGAAGCTGCAGTGTGTCATACAGTATACCCTTTTGCCTTAACAGCTTTTTTTTTTTTACAAATGCTCATTGCAATGAGTCATTGTGGTTCAGGGCCTTTGGCTTCTGCTACACCATCAATACTGGATCCTCTCAGAAACTCCTTACAGATAATCCTGCTGTTGCCCAGAGTCATGGAGATCCTGCAGCTATGGTTCCACAGGACTGGCTCCTTCATGCACTCCAGCAGCTCATAGATGGGGTAGATGTTGAGATGGACCAACTCAAAGCCCTAGATTTGGGTCTGGGTGGTAGCTGAGCTGGTCATCCTGGGCCTCCCCTAGTTACCACTCCACTCCTTGGCAGGCAAGGGGTGGGGCCAGCTCAGCATGGCCCTTGGGCATCAACATGGCTTCAGGTAACACCAGACCATGGATATCTACATGGCCTTCAGTGGTAATACTGGGCACGAACATAAACACAGCCTATTCATAAACACAGCCTATTCATAGCCCTCAGTGGCTGCATGGACCTTGGGTCTCATCATGGCCTTAGGTGGCTACACATGCTGCTCACATCAACATGGCTCCCAGAGGGGCAAAGCCCAAGAACATTACCAAGTCATCAGTCAGTGTACAGACCACTTAACGTCCACGTGGATGTCGGGCTTCATAGTGGTCTGGAGCAGCAACATGGACTGAAGACACCAACATGGCCTCTTGTGCATCATGGATCACAGTGGTCCTTCCAAGAGGTCCAGTCTAGAACTTTTTCTCATCTCAAGCCTCTTTCATTGCCCAGAGCCAGGGGCATTCCATGGCTGGGCAGCATGTCCAGAAGCTGAGTCCACATGTGCAGGGCTGAGTCCGCTTGTGCATACACTCCGGGCTGCTGCATACCACCTGCTGACCCTATTGGGCAGTGACAGCATGTTGACCTTGCTCTCACCTGTCACTGCCATCAGGTCTCTGGTTCTGCCTGTCTCTGTAGGGCACACACAGCTCTGTGTTTCTGCCTTTCACACTTCTCCATCCTTTATTAGTGCATCGACACCCCTCCCCCCTCGTTACGTTGTAGGGAACAGCCTCAATGTCTCTTCAGCCCTACTACTTTAGCTTTTAGGAGGTATTTTTATGTGTAAAGGAGACCTTGTGTAAAGTGAATATGTATGGAGGTAGGGGGATATATTGAAAAATAGTGTTTGCTTACCAAAATACTACTAAGTTTTTTCTAGGTACCTGAATTGTGAATTGTTTGAGCTCTTTTCCTCTCTTCTGCTTCTTTCCTCTCTTCTTCACACCTCCATATTTCTATTTTTGAAGATAGGAAATTGTTATATGTTGTCCAGGCTGACCTCAGATTTAAGCAGTCCTCTGCTTCTGCCCCGTGTATAGCTGGCATGTAGATATTTGCCATAGCACCAGATTTCATCTGTTTTCTAGTTATTCCCTAACTTTTTTTAAACACAAGAACAAAATCCTTTTTCTTGTGATGGATGGTTTGGAACCAACCATCCTGTAAAGAGAGGCCGATTCCTCCAGCTGCCCTTGACCCCAGCAGGGCTCCTGAAGCCTCTTTCACACATTAGCTCTATGATGTGCTTTTGTCCAGCATGTAGGCATGAGAGGAATGGGGCCATGAAACCTAACCTGACAGTTGCTTTCCTCCTTCATGACTAGCCTGCTATGGGATGGACAACGAAGAAGAGAACCACTATGTCTCACAGCTTAGGGATGTCTACAGCAGCTGTGACACCACAGGGACAGGGTTCCTGGACCAGGAAGAGTTGACCCAACTATGCACTAAACTTGGTCTGGAGGAACAGCTGCCAGCACTCCTTCAGATTCTTCTTGGAAATAACCATTTGGCTAGGGTGAGTGTGGGCTCCTCCCGAGGGAGAGGGTAGAGCTGTGCCATTGACGTGGGCATTTGGGGCATGGCACACAAAGGAAGACACTTGGGAAAGAAAAGTCACCAGCAGCAAATCAGTGCTGTTCTAGGGATTATAGAAAAAACTTCAGGGATTATAAGTAGTCACATCCACCCATCTGAAGGTAACCAGCTACAATCATTCTCTAATTGTGTTGTTTGGTTTGGTTTTGTAAGATTTGGTGGTGGGATTTACCTTCTACTAGAGAAAAAGTTTTAATCATCTGTTTGGAAAAGTGAAATGAATGTTTTCCCCCTGAAAGGCAATAATCAGAGGTCTTTTGAGAATAAAGACTCCAAGGGGATTTCTTTGTCCATTAAATTAAATGTGAATCTGTGGAAAGTAACAGTGTCATTTCTTTACTCTTTTTCCCGCAGGTTAACTTTGAGGAATTTAAGGATGGTTTTGTGGCTGTGCTGTCATCTGGTTCCTGTGTGGGAGCCTCTGATGAAGAAGGTAGTTCTTCAGAGTCAGGTAAGGAGATTTCCTCTAAGGTTTCCTATTTATCTGTGGCCTTTCAGAGTGTAGCTCAACTGTTTCAAATCCTAGCCTCCCTTCCTGACACCATCAAGTTTCCCCTTCTGTGAATATCAGATTGTAACCCTGCTTTACCTGTAGGGGGCAGCTGACAACAGAGAGGTGTGGAACAGATAGAGGTAGAGCCTCAGGGCTCTTTGGTGTACTAAGCGAATAGACCAGCTCTCCACCCTGGACACTAGCTTAATCTGTCATAGCCAGTGTGTGCTAAGAGAACTAACAGGAATCTCACTGTGGAAATGCTTGTGGAGCAGGAACACGATAATAAGTGCAACTGACACATGGCAGGAACCCACCAGGCCCGAGGACCAGATAATGAGGTACAAGAATAGTGGGCCTCGTGTAAGAGAGCTGGAGGCAGGTCTATTTAGGGACATGAGGGCTGTGTGAGGTAGACAGTGAGGATTTCTGAGGTTCTGTGCCCCTCTGGCATGCTGTATGATGATATAGCAGGTTGAAGGACCCTAGTCAGAAGCAGAAGCATGGAGAGGCATAACAGTGAAAGGCACAGGGACTGGCACTCAAACCAAGTGTCTACTGGATGCAAAGCCTTGAGCTTCCTGTGTATTTTATGCAGATCCTGTTTACCCTCTTAGAACTTCTGTGGTCCTAGTGTACCCACAGTGGACCTGAGGAGAGATTTATCCTTGGTACATAGTTCATTATGGCTAGGACTTGAGTCCCTGTTGTCCACAGTCCCTGAACCCTGTGCACACACTTTCAAAACACTGTGCTTCTGGCTCTGGATGACATGGTCAGTTCCCTCCCACCCCCTTCCTGTCTGATTGCGGAGGCTCTGGGCATAGGATATCGGGAGCTGGGGTCTGTGTCAGCCCCACACAACTTGCACAAGTATTTGTCTCATACGTTTTTTTGCAAAGATGTGTAGAGGGCTTAGAGTCTTTCCTGACACACAAGAGTTTGATTGGGATATTAATTGGCAATTGGGATATTGGCCCCTCTGATAGACCAGAGGTAAAAAATATCCTACTTCGTGACACTTAACAGCTTAAAAGTCGCCATCTGTGGCACATGTTCAGTTTTCTCAAAGAAGAGAGCCCTTTTCATGACTGTTTTCTCCTCACCAATACACAATTTTTTTCCTTCAATTTAGAATTTGAAAAGTTTTCTCAGCTAAGTGTCCCCATGCTTTTTCCCAAAACACTGTCTCTCATGCCATCAGACAGAGACCAACCCCTGCCCATCTCTGTTATGTGGCTCTAGGGAAGAGATGTGAACAACAGTCTATTTACTCCAGATAGAGCATTATAACAGGCCAAAGAAACAATTTTACCCAAGCCTCAAGGGAAACCAATGAGATGAATAAGGTTCCTTCCGGGAGTATAGATGATTCACCAAAGCTTCTTTCCCCTAGCTGTTGTTCAGTGATGTTATAACCTTGGTCCAGGGTCTTGTGAATCTTGTTTCTTTCTGAGCTTCCTCAGTCTGATAATTTTCATAAGCTTCGCTAGTCTTGTGACACTCCCTTCAGACTGGAGGAGGAAGGTAAAGCTGACACAGCTCTGTTGCCACAGGCGCAAAGCACAAGGTCAGTTCTGGTAGTAGGTAGATGTTTCCACACTGCTGTATAGATATTTCCTACAAATTGAAACATTCCCTCCTCCAGGGTTGAGTCTAGCTCAGTCTTTTGTATTATTTTCTAACTTGCCCATTCCTTGTCACTTGTGCCCCTGCCTACTGCTCACCCATCTAACTATACTGATTGCCTCTTTGGTTCCGGTAACAACATCATCATTCTGACTTCCAGTTCCTCTCTTAGTGCCCTCCACCTTGCCATTACAATGTGTTTACTCATGTGGCCAAATTCCTGGATTAGGAAGAGCAGGCTTGTACTTCAGTTCCTTCTCCTGTTGTTAAAGGCCATTGGTGAACATGTAACTAAATGCATTTGATTTTTCCAATCCTGTTATACTTTCTTAAGAGTCAGTACACTTAATAATGGCACATAGGTATCCAGGGCTCTGGCCAGGTAGTGGGGCTCCTGCAGGATGTTATACAATGGGTATAAAGTTGATGGTGTGATGGCCTGGCTCAGGGCATGGTAGAAAATGTGGTGTCTGGGTGACTTACTGAGCTCTGATCTCATGGGAGAAACCTGTGGTTCTTTCTGTAGGGAGCAGACACCACCCTGTCATTGTTGCCATTGCTCTGCTGTTGTTGCTTCTGTGGTGAAGAGCTCTATGGATCCCCTTTTCTGAGTAGTGTTTCTCCACGGTGGAGTGAGATTTCTCCTTGGGCCATGCTGGTTAGATCCTTTTAACTATTTCAAGAAGAACATGTGTTTCTGTGGTTCACTACACTAAGGGAAGTGCTGTCTGTCTGTGGATGAAGATGTAATGTAACAGCAGTGTGAGGTCAGTGTGGACAACAGAGATATGAAGGGGGGGGGGTGTCATAGGTCCTGAGGAAGCACCCAAGGAAGAGAAGCATGGGCAAGTTACACCATTTTCAGATGTGCCTGAATAGCTCCAGGATGGGGCTGTAGCTGTGGCTTAGTGATCAGGGTCTCCTGTGGCAGACCTCTTGGTGGGGAGGAAGAGAATGGGCATCCTCTGTCAGGTTGTCCGGGTATCTTATGCTCTTCACTGCACATGACCAGGGTTTCCTCGTCTAGCCTAGCAGGTACTTCCCCAAGAGTGCCCAACTGCATCTTGCCTACAAATGGAAACCAGTCACTGACAAGAGCCTTTGCTCTGTGACTGCCCTTCATTGAGAGCGAGCAAACAGATTTTTTAAGGAAATGTGAGAGACACCCTATAGGGTGAAGGGTCCCAAAGGAAGGAAACACTGCAGAGATTTTTATAGGATTTATGGCAGAAACTGTACAAAGACTGAAGTAGTTACAAAGCTGTTCAGTGCTTTCAACATACCTTCTGGGGAGATGAGCGTGCACTGTTCTCCCAGTTAGGAGGGTGGTCACATGCTGAACCCCCTCTGTTCATCTTTGACTTGCTTTGTTAACTGCTAACCTTGGCTTGTCTGCTGGCTGCTAGCCCAGGTGAAAACTGTAACTACTGGCCTTGCAAGTGTTGCTGCTGTCTGACCTTGGTGAGTACTTTGTTGGCTGCTAACTAAACTATGCTGTGTTTGATATTCTGTGTACATGAATAAAGGGGTCATGGGTTTAAAGACACTGAGGCAGATTGTTGAAGATAGGAATTTATTAAAAATGTTAGTGACACCACAGATAGACAGACAACAGTATGTCAGGGCCTCTGAGGAGAGTTCAAGGCACAGTTTCAGAGATAGGGAGCATCCAGGGTCTCAGAGTAAGTGACCTGCTTGAAGTTTTACCATGTGCCCCTTTCTTCCCTGTTTGTGGGGAATTAACTCTGGCCTAAGGGCATTTTTCATATGTTCTCTTGATGTCCTCTGTCGACATGGAACCTATTTCTTTCACTCAGCATGCCTGATGACTTCTGTCTCTTCAAGGACACTATACCTCGCCTACCAGTGCCTGTTCTGTTGGAGTAGTTGTTAGTGATACTCATGAGGATAAGTGTCCCAGCAATCATCTTGTATGTTTTCAGTTACCTCGAATGCTACTCTGTCACCTCACATTCAGCATATTTGGAATAAAACTTAGCAGTGACCTCACCAATCCTTGTCCTTTATCCCCAATTCCTGTCTCTTCAGGTCATCCAGATTTCTCATCTGGTGACCCCAGGGTCAACAGGTGGTGACCATCATTTCTGTTTGATAGAACCCAAGACATATCTGCTGAGTATGAAGGGCTCCTCAGCTTCCTGGCCAGGCGTGGCCTCAGTGGGCTCATCCATATCTCCTGATCCTGAATTCTTCTCCTGAAGCACAGCCTCATCCGTGGCTGCTTCTCTTGTCATCTCCACCCCCCCCCCATACACACATGTGCTTAGTTAGGGTTGTATAGCTGTGCAGATTGGAGGGAGAAGGAAGGAGACACAAGGAAGTGTAGGGTTTAGAGTATTCCCTTCAGTCTGGAGACCACAATCCATGCCCCATCTGTCCTGGCTTTCAGACTGCACAGAATTGCAGAGTGTGTCTTTGTCTATGGCTCATGCCTGCCTGTGGAGGACCTCTAGCCCCAAGGTCTTGGTCTTATGTAACCAGAATGCCTAGCAAGCGTGAGGATTTTCTAGAGACACATGTGTCCCTCACTCTGGCTATTTGGACCATTTAAACAAGGCATCCAGGGAACTGGGATTTCCCCCCAAAGATCTCATACTTACAGAAGGGAATTGCTGAATCCTGGTGCGATCTAGAGGGGAATCTTGTCTCTAGGAAGGTGGAATGATTTCACACAGTGTTGACAGCTTGTCAGACCACCTTACAGTAGAGACTGGAGTTAGAACAGTGATGGATCACTGATAGGCAGGACTATACCTTGATAGGGAGAACCCAATTATGCATAGCTCATGCCTTCTAGTTAAACCTTAACCTTGAGGCAGGATCCTGAAGATAGACTTGAGGGAATCACTGGGTTTCTTTATCCCTCTTCTTAATATGGCCACATTGAGTGCATCTGCTTTTCACTGTTAACTTGGCTTTTTTAAGTGGCTTATTGTGAAGGTACCTGAGGCTGGCTTATTGGGGCACAGGCTGTGACCCTGAGACCAGTACACCAGGAAGGAATTATGAGAAATAGTCCTCAGTTCTCTAGCTATGTTTCTTGTTGTTGTCTCACTCCTTAAACAGAAACAGAGTATGCATGATAAAATGTAAAGTGCACCTGGTGTTTAGTAGGAGTCTCCCTTGCCCAATCTGGCTTTGAAGTGTTGCCTCAAGGACATCCACTGTTAGCTGATCAGTGTCTTGTGTCCTCTAGACTAACGGGTGCTCAACAGGGTGGCTGTGAGCCATACTTTGGGTTAATTGCACAGCTTCTAAAGGAGTGTCTTGTTGGCATGCAGGGCCCATAGCCTGCTCGATAACCACTCCCTCACTCCCTGTCTCCTTTTCTCTTTCCAGTTACTTCTTGTGCTGTCCCTCCAAAGTACATGAGTGGCTCTAAGTGGTATGGCCGTCGAAGCCAACCTGAGCTTTGTGACTCGGACACTGCAACCAAATATGGATCAGAACAGCAGGCCAAGGGCAGTGTGAAGCCTCCGCTGAGACGTTCTGCATCTCTGGAAAGTGTGGAAGTGAGTCAACCTACCCTTTCCATCCAGATTGCCAGAGATTAGGGAAGTAATTGTCAGTTTGTCACTGTCCATCCACATAGTCCTGGAGGATGCAGGCTGGGAACCATGTTCCTGGGCAACTTGAGTTGTCAGCACCCTGGGTGTACATGGCAGCTGTGCTTTAAACTCTCTTCTCTGTTAGGGGCCAGTCTTGGTCCCAGGCCACTCTCCTCCAGATTTGGAGCAATGGGGACTTTGTGGGGACTTCTCTTCTCTGGCCCACTGGCCACACCTTCCTTTCACTGTGGAAAGTTCAAGTTAAGACTTCACAACAGAGGAACATTACATGTCAAGGGATGGAAAAAGAAGCCCCTGGTTAGGAATGGGACCCCGAGTCCACAGAACTGCATCAGGATATACCAATGCCCACACATATGCACTCTGGCAAGTACAGTTGGATGCCTCCTGGGGTATGAGAGCTGACCCTTCCTTTGCCTCTTCTTAATATGGCCACATTGAGTGCATCTGCTTTTCACTGTTAACTTTTAATTGTTAACTTTTCATTGGCTTATTGTGAAAGTGCTGAGCCTTTTGCTGCTAACAATGGGGCCTCACCTGTTTCATGTAAAGAAATCTGTGCATTGGGCAGCTGAGGCTTTTATTTAAGTCACACATTAGTCAATGGCCCTGTCTCCTCTGCTGAGGTGTCAGTGCTTACTATGGACTATGCTGTCCGCAGAGCCCCTACAGGGACAGAGGCTTGCTCTTCTGTTTGCTGAACTAATGTGGATGGTAAAGGATTGTGCACAGGGGCCATGACATCACAATATTTGCAGAAGGTGTCCCCTGAGTGGAATGTTGGATAGTTCCCATCAAATGCTGGTGTGTAAAACTGGCTGCATTCTCCTGTGGGATGTAGGAGCTTTCTGTGTTTTCAGCGTGGGCTGCTGATCGTTTATGCTAAGGAAGCCAAGAATGCAGAACAAGGCATGTGCCCAACCTCATGTCTGCACCCTTGCTTTGGAGAGGATGTTAGTCTTCACAACATACAAGTTTCTGCTTAGTGGGACCACAGCCTGTTGAGCTACAGTGGGGAGTGCCAGCCCAGAGTGCATCTTCAGTGACGCCTCCCACCCCAACTTCCTCTGTGCTTATCCCTGGTGCTTCATCCACTGTGACACCCATTGATGTACCACATCCTTTTCTTCACTTTCTTCACAGAGCCTCAAGTCAGATGAAGATGTTGAGAGTGCTAAAGAACCTCAGAATGAATTATTTGAAGCACAAGGTAACTCGTGGCTTCACATTTTGTGCTTTGTCTGAGTAGAGCTCTGAGCCAGGTTATTGGACAGGGCAGTGTCTTGGGAACTAAATGTTGTGTATGTGACCTTTATAGGTTCCTTCTCCAGAGGTGGTTAGAATGTTGGCATTATGGCCCCGAGGTAATCACTTGGTCTTCAGTTTCCCACAAGACCACTTCCAGAGGCTTCTGGCCAAGGATGCAGGGTGCTGCTGCTCCGATTCATGGCCTGTGGATTCCAGTGTGAACCCAAATGATGGGTGTATTGTGCAGGCATCTCAGGCCCAAGGGCTGTGCTTGGCCTGCTTGCAGTCTCTGGTGCTATGAAAGGGTAGTCTCAGACTCTACCAGGGTTTGAGTTGTCCCCGAGGAGGGTAGCAAATGGTCCTGTTCCTAAAGAGCTTCACACAGCAACTAAAGACCCATAGTTGGCACAAATCAGTACATCAGAATTAGGAAAGAATAGCTGGATCAGGGGCTCTTGGCCACCAAAAGTGCTGTGGTCTGTGTGTGATACTGACTCCAAATAGCCACTGGGTGGCCAGGCATGAGCTGGATGTGAAATCCATCAGCACCTTTCTGGGGTGGCAGTTGCTTGACATGTTTCTGGGCTGAGGTTCTGGTATGGATGCATTTGAAGCCTCATTATGGTTGGATTTCCTCATAGTGTAGTGGCTCAGGTCACCTCACACAAGGTCTGGCTGACTGGGCTGACAGTCTCTTGTGTCATAGAAGCCCATTCTACATTCACACAGCATGACTTCTTTCATGTTCTCTTAGTGAAAGCTGTCTTAAGGCTTCTGAGGTGACAGAGAGGCCACAAACCCATGAGTACTGATGGAAGACAGAGTATCAGAATTTCAAGTCATGTTTTTAAACTGCCTTGTGAGGAGAGCTAAAAAGATGAGGGCAGCCATTTGATAAGAGGGGAGAGGGGAGAACACAAATGTGGTATGCGTTCCAGTAAGCAAGTGGGGAGCAAACTGTGTTGCCCTTTAATGCCAGACTCATGAGGCTGAGGGCAGCAAGGAAGCCAGTGATTGAAAGGAGCTCATGTGCTAGGCTGCAGCGACCGAAGGATCCTCTGGGGCTGGTTGATCAGACTGAACACTTCTGGCTGCAGAGTGCCCAGCTCCAAGCTCCCTGGAAGGAACTAGGAGATGCCCAATGGATGCATTTGTGGAGCTGGTGTGTCCTGTTGGAAAAGTCACTAGTCTACCTGTGAAGACACGGAGCTTCTAGCTCTGAGTACCCACAGGCCATGGGCAGAGACTAGACCTCATTGTCCTGTACACAGCAAGTCCCCAGCATTAGGCAGAGTGTCCTGTGACCTATGTCTTGGATCAGGATGCACTGGCCCTTTGGTGTGCTCTCCACTACCCAGCCCATGGTGTCATTTGGGATACTCAGTCCTGGTTCTCCTTGGAGGACAGTGGCTTTTATGTTACTTGTTGAGTTATGAAAGCAACTAATGCCCATAAGGCTAAGCGTTCCATTGTGGTTTCTTTATTATGGGTGTACTTATCAGTGTTTAACTGTGATCCTCTCTTGCCTCAGGCCAGCTGCGATCATGGGGCTGTGAGGTCTTCGGGACACCCCGGAAAACCTGTAGCCCCTCCTTGAACCCTCCTGAGAACCAAGTCCAGGGCATCTGGCATGAGCTGGGGGTTGGCAGCAGTGGTCACCTGAATGAACAGGAGCTGGCTGTGGTCTGCCAAAGCATTGGGCTCCATGGGCTTGAGAAACAGGTGAAGGCCTGGGGCCACCACAGTGGCACAGTCACATTTAGTGCTGGGTCTGGAAAAACCAGTTCACCTTCAGAGAGCAGTTTTCTTTTGCACTTGGTTATCTCAAATCTTTTGATGGCCCAAAGCTTTGAGATACCTTTGAGAGTCCATCTTCACCCACACAGCCCATCGCCTTACAAGCTGCCCTCAAGGGTCCCAGCTGCTCCTAAAATCTTCACTTTGAGCTCTTTGTCTGCGTAGACCGAATACTCTTCTTCTTTTGCCCAACACAGCACCTTTGAGTTTCACTATACCCTTGGTGTATACCCCATTCTTCTGGGAAGACTTAGACAGGAAGTTGCTGGTGATAGCATAGGTCCCACCTGTTATTGTTCCTACTCTGTGTTCTTGCTGGCCCATGAACTGTAAGGCTTAGGCTGGTTTTCTAGCAAATTCCTATTCCTATCCCCAGTGGACACTTGGGTATCTATAAAGTCAGGATGTTCAAATGCTGCCCCCTCCTACCCGGCAAGGCCTTGTAGGATCCAAACCAGCTGAGCTGACTTTGTAAAGGAGCTAGACAATTTAATCTTTAGATAAGCCAAGTGCCCTTGTTGGGTGCTTGGAGCTAGAGGTACAGAGTGAGGTGATTCTCCAGGCCTGAAGGGTGGTGGCTCTCGTCTAGGAACTTGAAGAACTGTTCACCAAACTGGACCAAGATGGAGATGGCAGAGTGAGTCTTGCAGAGTTTCAGCTTGGCCTGTTCGGTCATGAGTCTCCTTCGCTTCCAGAATCTTCCAGTCTTGTCAAACCAAGCAGGCCTTGGCCTCATTTTCAGGTAAAATGGGTGAAGTAAATGTCACACACCAGCAGTACTTGGTGTTGCTTCTTGCCAGATGAGGGTGCCGGCTGACAGTACTGCCAGTGTCACAGCACTGAGCCCAGAAGCTGGGTACACATGCCCACACACCTGCACGTGAGCAGCACTCTGTGGACCTCGAGCCCCTCTGGTGGTGCTCATTGCCGACTACGTTCTTCTCTCAGCTCGGTGCTCATCTGTAAAATGGCAGCAATCTGAGCTCCTTCATCAGGAATTTCCAGAAAATAATGCAACGCGGGGAACATGACCATTCTCCCGTTACACACTGAGGATGGGCTGTAGAGTTGTGTAGCTTGTCTGGGATTCGTCTTCCATGTGGATTGTTTTTTCTTACCAGAAGTCTTAAATTTTATTTTGTAAAATTTTGCTCAGAGGCAACTGACCCAACACCGTTAGCACCAGGACATAGCACAGGCTAGCTCTAGGCACTGCTATGGGCAGGTGCATTTGAGAATCTAAGTTTTTGGCTAAAGTCTGGGGATAGGTAGAGCAGCTCAGGGCAAGTACTGTAAGTCAGGAACACCAGGAGTTGGGTGTGGACCATTGGTGGGATTCTTGCATGTACAAGCGCTAGGCCATTCTTAGCACTACATGTAAACATAAAATCAAGTCTGAAAGTGTGAAGATGAGACACCCCCCAAGTCATACTCAGTGTTGGTTCAGCTGGGTACCCCTCTGAATGAGGCCACATGTTTCCTGTGCTTTGATATCACTGGTAATTGTTATCGAATGAGATCTCACAGTCTCTGAAACTCCTTCTAGAAGGTTCAGCAACTGCCTAGACACCCCAGGCCAGTAGGACTGTGGGTCCCATGTGCTTCTCCGAGGTTGCCTCTTCAGCTAGCAGCCTGACCTATCGCAGAGGTCATGGTCTAGAATGTGCTAGAACTTGCAGCTCCTTTCTGTATACCTTACTTCCTTCCCTTTTCTACACCCAGTGAACTATGCCCATGCTTCTGGCCCTATGGGCTTCTGGGCTGTCTTTCCACCTTGTTCACTTTGCTCACAAACTACCTACATACAGGTATACTGCTGCACGCATACATACCTACTGATCTGTGCTTGCTGCACACTCATCATCTGAACATGGACAATTTACTGAGTACACACACCCACCATACATGCTTTCCTACTGTAGACATGGCACATCCATTTTATGTGTATCTGACATGTGCACACACTATAAATGTTCACCAGTTCTACACATGTGTTCACTGTGCATTCATTACCAACTATGTACACACATTTGCTGTATGTGTACACCTGCTCTAGACATATGCTGAGGTTCTTTATGTGTGTACCCACTCTCCGTGTTCGCATCCATTATACATGTAAATCTCCTGAAGACACCCATGCATCCGCTGTGGGTACCTGCTGTAGACCCATCTGCATCCGCTGTACCTGCACATCCACTGTGTGTGCGCACCGTCTGTAGACACATTCACAGCATACAGTGCTTCAGACCCACTTAGAGATGTGATCAGTCTCTGTCTATGCCCCACTCACTGTTGACCTGAGCACATTCCTTATATGCGTACCTACTGTGTACCCCACATTTTCTGTACATGCAAATCTGCTGAAGACATGCATAGCTTCTGTAAATGCAGAGCCATTATAGACACATGCACAGGTTCCACATGTACACTCGCTGTAGATGTGTGTACATCCACTCTACTTACACACTGTATGCAAACACCTTTTCCTGTGGACACTCCTACTATGAGCATTTATACGTACACACCCAGGGTAAACATTTGCTCACCCACTGTGTACACATAAATCTTCCGTAAGTGCGCATCAAATGTAGGTGTGTACCTGCTGTAGATATACATAATCACAACGGATGTTTATCTACCAAATGTATAAACTCACTGTGCGTTTACACTGGCACACATTCATGCCTATTCATAGTATGAATACAGATATGTGTGCACATTAACATAAGCCTATACTCATGTACATAATCTGTAAATGTACGCCCTCTGTGTTCTATCATATTATGGCACACACTACTGAGATGGAGAGAGGGCAGAATTTGATTAGTCTATAGAGCACCATATTCCTGCCCTTCTGGGGTCTCTTGTTTCAGAATGTCTGCCTCTTACTTGGGACAGCATTCAGGACTCCAAGCACTTCAGAAAAGTGACTTGCTTGACTATAGGGTTGAGCCTACTATGTCCCATTTGGGCTCTGCTGGCCTTATGTGGCTAGACCAGCTCCAGGAAGGCAAACTGTCTTTCTGCTGGGGCCAGAGGAGGAACTAGCACTTTCTTAGTACATTTGGGTATCAGAGCTTGTGTACAGGTGGCCGTCACCAGACATGGTAGAGATGTTCTCACCCTCTATAAATGGGGCAAGATGTCTGCTTTGTTGTAAACAAAAGGGTTGTAAAACAGCCACACAGGTCAGGAAATACTCTCTTTCTGGGCATGCTGGAGAGGTAGGGCCAGGTGAGAGAGCAGGTGGATGGGGCAAGAGGACTGGACCTACAGAAATGGTGGGTAGCAAGAGAACCACCAGCAGTCCCTGCCCGGGGTGCTGCACGTTGATGAAGTGTTTGCAGGCTGGTCTAACAGCGTCAGAGTGAAGTCCAAGAAAGGAACAAGCCAGGACGGGGAGAGGACAGGCTGGTAAGTGTTGGAGAAAGCATTTCAGCACCAGAATGTTGAAAGAAGAAAAACCTAGGAACTGGAGGTGGTGAGGAGAGTTCATGCAGCCCATCTGTATCCTGCAAGGGGAGTGGGGTCCTGGGTGCAGTGAGTGCCTTGTGTACCTGAGCGCAGGCCTTAGAATACAGGAAGCAGTACCGCCATCACTCCCAAGGTTCCTTAAGCTGAGACTTGTTGGGAAGGACCCCCTGTGGGACAGGAGAGGGTGGGATATCATTCTTGCCCTTGGGTTCAGGTAGTGGAGAAGCCTCACAGGCAGCTTTTCCTCTGGGAGACTTTTACTGTCCCACAAACCTCCCTCGTACTGCTTAGCAACTGGGCTTCAGGGTTGAGTCCTGGGAACCGTGGGGTTCTGCTTTGGCTATTCTGCCCCTTCTTTCTGAGCCCATCTGTCATTTCCTCTCTCAGCTTGGGTTTTCCTGGTCCACAGACTTTCTTAACATAGGAAGAAATGGCCACATCACTTTGTGGGCCTTCTTTTTGTGATAACTCATTGCCTGGAGCTGACTCAGGCCTCACAGGTATGAGGTGACAATGATAAGTAAAAGCAGGTGCCAGGGATCCTTGCAGGACGAAGATCAGGGACTGTGGCCCAAAGACTAGGTGCAGTTCCACTTCTGTCCTTGTAGAACTGTGTGATCCCAGGTAAGTCCAGGGCTCTGCTAAGCCTCTAGAGAAGTGGACTACAGATCATTGCGGGTGTGCGTTCTCTTGTTTTAGGCTTGGATGAGAAGGCAAAGTGTGGAACACAGGCTGGCAAGGTGACACTTGTGTTAGTGTGCACAGACACCACAGCCTCAAGACACCTGAGTGCTCAGGGCATCTTCCTTCCTGATGTGCAGGAGGAGAACGGTTGCCACACCACCACGACCTCATCCCTCGTGTCCGTGTGCTCAGGCCTGCGCCTGTTCTCCAGTGTCGACGATGGCAGTGGCTTTGCCTTTCCCGAGCAAGTCATCTCCGCATGGGCCCAGGAGGGCATTCAGAATGGCAGGGAGATCTTGCAGGTTTGCAACTTACTGCTTGTGGCTGCCCTGTTGGGTGATGTCTTCAAACACTGTGGGGCCAAGTAGGGGACATTGGGGTGTCCACAGAAGATAAACGCGGCAGAGCATGTGCTGAGTGCTGACAGTCCTTCATCCCATGCAGGGGAACCCCCAAAGGAAACATTTTCCCATAAAGTTTTGCAATTAAAATGCAGGCATATTGAATTTGAAACTTAAAAATATAGAGAAAACAGTCGGGGAATGTCCATTCCAAGGTACGGTTCTGTGTAATACACACCAGATTGTCACCCAAAAGAAGGAAGTCACCCAGGCTTCTTTGTGCTAAGAGGACCTTCAGTTACCACTGTCAGCCAGTCATGATGCGCTCTCTGAGCAGAGACGGGTGGGATTTCACACAGGTGGGCTCACTCTTGCTCTGTATGTTGAGTTGAGTTTGTCGTGTAGATAGAATTCTGCCCTGGGGCAGCCAAGTCAGGCTCACTGAGGCCAGCAGGAATGAGAGACTACTACCTCCAGGAAGCGTTACTAACTAGATTTAGTTTTCTTCCCAAATTTTGCTTTTCTCTTTGAGAGAAAAAAAATCACAGTTTGGGGCCAGAAGATAATTCAGTAATTAAGAGTACCTGTTGCTCTTGCAGAGGACCCAGATTCAGTGCCCAGTACCCACATCAAGTGGTTAATAACTGCTTTATATAATTCCAGCTGCAAGAGATCTTATGTCTCTGGTCTCTGTGTCACCTGCCCCCCCCCATAAATAAAAATTTAAATATATTTTTAAGATTGATTCATTTATTATGTGTACAGTATTCTGCCTGCATGTACACCTGCAGGCCAGAAGAGGGCACCAGATCTCACTGTAGATGGCCGTGAGCCACCAGGTGATCATCACTAGGAAATGAGCTCAGGGCTGTTGGAAGAACAGCCAGTACTTTCAACCTCTGAACCATCTCTCCCGCCCGAAACATAATAAAAAAAAAAAAAAAAAATCACAACTAGGGAGCTGGGCAATGGTGGCACACCATCTTTAATCCCAGCAGTTGGGAAGTAAAGGCAGGCAGGTCTCTGTGAGTTCGAGGCCAGCCTGTTCTATAGAGCGTGTTCCCAGGACAATCAAGGCTACACAGAGAAACTCTGTCTCAAAAAATAGGCCAAGGGAGATGGCTCAGTCGGTAAAGTACTAGCTACAAATGCATGAGGAGTTGAATGTTTATAATCCTAGCCCTGCTGAGGCAGAGACAAGAGGATCCTTGGGGTTTGGCTCAGTGGCTTGCCAATTTAACCTACTTGAAAACCCCAGGTGATAACAAAAGAACCTGTCTCAAAATAACAACAGCAGCCACCCTACCCCCAAATCTAGGCGAATGACACCTGAAGAAGAATGCCACTGGCTTGTGAGTGTGCCCTGCCACACAAAAAAGCACCTGTGTGCCACGAGCCTCTTGTGGAGTTTCTCCAAGCACAGAAAAATAAATGTGTTTATACATTCTAGTTTAATTTTCCTAGTATTGGTATCATACTGTGTCACTGTTAATTTATGCAGCCCTTACTTGCTAGTAGACAGGTAGGTTTATCCATTACTTCCACGGTCATCTCAGCATCTAAAATATACCAGTTTCCCTGTGCTTATGCTGACATTGCTCTGTAGAGTTGATTCTAGAAGCTATACACTTACTGTTTCAAAACCTTGTTTCTACCTTGTGAATTCTAGGAATAGAGGCACGAGGCACCACTCAGCTTTATTATTTTGTTTTTGGTATATGTTTGTGTGTGTCTGCCTGTGTGTGTTCATGTGCGCATGCCTGCACATTAACATGTTTATGTACGTGCCATGATGCACATGTGGAGGTCAGAGGATATCAATCCTTGCCTTCTGTTTTGTTGGAGACAAGCTCTTTTGTTTATAAGTGCATAGACCAAGTGGCTGTGAGCTTCAAGGGATCCTCCTGCCTTCCACCAGGTAATGCTGCCATTACAGATGTGAGTTACAGCAACAAGCTTGCTTGAGTTTTAGGCATTCAAACACTTAAGGTTCTCACACTTACGCAGCAAGTACTTTATGCATTGACCCATCTCCGCGGCTCTCCAGGGCAGTTCTGATGGCCCTTAGCTGAGCAGCTGCTATTGTGACGTATCTCTGTAACTTTTCTGACCCTAACTCCATGTGGGGTCCTGCAAGGAAGGGTGCACTGTGTGGCTGCCAGCACTGCTGTGTATGGGCTATGTGGTGAGACCTTTTAATATACACAGAAAGGAGCTTTTCGGGGCCTGGGTGGCCCCAAGGAGTTGCACACGAAGTATCAGGGGGCTATATCAGGACTTAGGTCTTTCCTCTCCTGTTTTATGATGGTTTGGGCTGTAGGGAAATCCTCTTTACGTGGGTGTTCCTAAGGCTTAGCTTGTCCTTAAAATTGTTGGTTTCAGAGGGGGAAGGGCCCCATTCCCCAGTTTTCCTGTTCAGCTCATGTGATGTGTTGAGGTGGGATGTGCTCCTACTATATCTTATACTTTGTTTAGGAAGAAGAACTCTTCTTATGGGGTCTTGGGGATCACAGTGTGATGTGGAGGCCCAGTTTTGAAAGCCCGCTTGTGTTACTAGGGTTGAGGAAGAGCACCCCAACAACCAGAGTCACTTTCAGACAGGAAAGGGGCAGGTGCATAAGGTAGTAGCCACTATGGGTATGGGCCCCTGAGCTGTCACAGAGCAAAGAGTACATTTGGAGAAGTTGCTCACTCCCCTTTGCCTTCTGGGACTTGCTGATTCCAGAGCCTGGACTTCAGTGTGGATGAGAAGGTGAACCTCTTGGAGCTGACCTGGGCCCTTGACAATGAACTCCTAACAGTCGATGGTGTCATCCAGCAGGCAGCCCTGGCCTGCTACCGCCAGGAACTGAGCTACTACCAGTAAGAGCCCATAAGGGAATGGGATAAGGTCCCTCTGGCTGGGTCCACCTCCCCGGGTACTTCAGGTCATAACTTCCCTGCTTTATTTCAGTCTCCCCTGATGGCTCCCAGTCTGCCTGTTCCCTGCTTTCCTGCCCTTGTAAGGAGAGCTCAGATGAAGAGAGCAGAGGAGGCCTGAGGGCCCACAGCTGCCCACTGCTGCTACTATTGGATTATGTGTCCCTAGAATTAAAGATTACCAGTGCGGGGCTGGAGAAATGGCTCAATGGTTGAGAGCACTGTCTGCTCTTCCAACTCCCAACATCCACATGACAGCTCATAGCTGTCTGTAACACCAGTTCAATGAATCTGATACTACCCTCATACCAATGCACTCAAAATAAAATTAAATAAATTATTATTATTTTTTTAAAAAGATTACCAGTACATCCCAAATGTGAGGTCATGCTTAGAAATCCATATGTCTGGGACCTCATTCAGCCACTTTTATGATGTTTTAAGATTCATACTTGGCCCTCATCCTGCCGATTCTGTAGCTCACTGTTGTGGAGGCAGAGACCCTATGGTTTGAGAAGGACCCTGCTTCCAAGAGCAGCCAAGGGATCTCTGGCTAAGGCTAGCAACTGAGGAAAAGGAAGGCCATTTAAATACTAATCTTCTCGATGGGGTGGTTCAACTTACTGTTGAGGCTGTCATTTGGCCTTTTTTTACATGTGCACTGGTAAAATGTCCCATCTGTTCTTCCCATGGCAGAGGGCAAGTGGAGCAGCTGGTGCATGAGCGGGACAAGGCGAGGCAGGACCTGGAGAAAGCTGAGAAGAGGAACCTGGACTTTGTGAGAGAGATGGACGACTGCCATTCTGCCTTGGAACAGCTCACGGAAAAGAAAATCAAGTAGGTTTGGGGCCCACAGCTATAGCTCCTGGGCTGCCACAGCAATGATCCTTCCCCAGCCAGGGACAGTCAGGGCTGTTGCCCGCTGAAGTGATCTTGCCATTTTACTGGAGCCAGTGGAAGTTGGGAAGACTTTTGGGAATATTTGTTTTGACAGGAAGTATCCTGCTTTGTGTGATGTGGGTACAGTGACCCCTGGTGTCCCCTGTGTGCCTGTGGCCATGAAGAAAATCCTAGTTCTGTCCTTGAATTTATCAGGGTCTGTCTTAACTAGAGTTGTCTGTATTGCAAGATGGTGGGTAATTAGGGAGGAAAAGCACCAGGACTGATCCATAAGGGTCAGTGAGAGAAGGTGGCTCAATGGGCCAAAACACAAAAACACAGTTACCTCTTGGGTTTATTAACCAGATGTTGGAGGAAAATCCTGGCATGAAGGTTTCTAGGGCTACAGCATGGAAGGAACATCCCCAGCTCCACTATGGGAGGCAGCCTCAGCTATGTGGCCATCTTGCCTGATGTTTTTATTCAATATGGGCCAGAGAGTGCTGGTTGCTTTCCCATATTCTCCATCTTGGGTTGGGCACTCAGGTAGGAGAGGCCTGCCCAAGGCCAGATCCCAATCCTGTTGGGCCTGAACCCTTCAGCTGTTCCACCCCTGTGGGCTGGGTGTGGCCAGTTCTGCATCTGTGTGCTTAGCACTGAGTGCAGCACCTGTCGCAGTGTGGCCTGCATTGCATGAGGGGAGAAGAAGGGAAGGCGGGTCATGCAGAATGGGTGTCCCTTTGCTGAAGCACTGCAATGTCATTTTACCTCCTTTGATGTCCTTAAGGTTTGCCACAGCCATATCACTTTTACTTTACTCCCGAGTGCCGTTTCCAGAGTAGTTTTAGGGCTGCTCCTACCTGTTCTTTGTGTGTGACACTGGAACCTTAATGTTTCCTTTCCAGGATCTCTTCATCCTAGCAGTATGGGGAACAGTCCTACCTCTAAGAACCATCCTCTCAGGTCATGCACCAGCCACTGTCCAGCCCTGAGTTAGTTGTGGTCACAGAAAATTCTCCTGTTTAAACATTGCGTTCCAACACTGAAAGCAAAATGAATGTGGATCCTAGTTTGAGTCATAGAACTAACTAATCTATCTAGTCGGCATGTCTAGGGCTTGGTTCTCTCCTAGTCATCAAGGACGATTTGGTGATGTGTCTCTTAGGGGGGGTTGGTCAGAGGAGTATAAACTCTGTGTGTTTATATACATGAGTGAATGTGAGATGGGGGTAGCATACATGGGCCTGCAGGTGTGTCTACATGTAGAGATCAAAAGTCAGCCGTAGGGCATTCATCTTGTTTGAGGAGACAAGGTTGCTCATCTGCTTGGAACTGGCTGATTAGGCTAGGCTGGATCCCAGCCAGCCCCAGGGATCTTTCTGTCTTTGATTTTCTGGAGTTGGGATTTTAGGTATGCAGTACCATGCCCAACTTTTTGCGTGGGTTCTGGGAAACTGAGGTCCTCATGCTTGCACAGCAGGTGACCAACTGACAGAGGATCATAAATAGTATCTGAAGTAGTGTTTCTGTGTATGAGTCCACTTGAGGGATGTATGGGGATGCTGAGTGAAGCCCATGTCTGTGGATGTCATCACATGGCATAGGGAATTAATAGTAGGTTTCTGTAAACAGCTTTCATGGTTAGGTTTTTACTCCCACAGATACAGTGAGAAATACATATTTGTTATAGAAAATTTAGAAAACATGAGGTAAAACCAGAATCTCCCTTTCTAGAGGTTATCTTTGTCTCTTTTTCATAAGTGTGTCATTATTTACAAGATGACACTGCAGGAAGCTGAGCAGATGGCTCGGTGAGTTCAGTGCTTGTTAAATAAATATGCAGACCTGAGTCTAGATCCCCAGCACCCATGTAAAAAGCCAGTTACAGTAGTCACGTGTGTAACCCCAGACCTGGGAGCAGACAGGGAGTGGAGACAAGTAGGTTCCTGAAGCTTGCTGCCCAGAGCCATTCTAGCGAACCACAAGCTCCAGACTCAGTGACAGACCTCATCCTAAATAATAATGTGGAGAAACAGTGAGGAAAACACTTGATGTTGGCTTGTGGCTTCCATGTGCTCGTGTGCAAGAGCACGCACACGCACACGCACACGCACACACACTCTTCTCTGATGGCTGCAGAGATCCCACTCTAAGTGTGTAGTCCTTTATTCACTTTCTTTTGGTTGTGCATTTCTAAGGTTTTAAGATGGGGTGAAAGGGCCAGATATGATAAAATGTATTATAGAAATATCTCTTTTCTAGAGCTGAGGACTGAACCCAGGGCCTTTTGCTGGGCAAGAGCTCTACTGCTGAGCTAAATCCCCAACTCTTAAAATATCTTCAAAAAACAAAAAATTGTGTGGTATGGTGGTGTTTGCCTTTGATTTCAGCACTTAGGGAGACAGAGGCACATGGATTGCTGTGAGTTCAAGGCCAGGGTGGTCTACAAAGTGAGTCTAGGATAGCCAAATGCAACACAGAGAAACCCTGTCAAAAAAAAAAAAAAAAAAATCTCCACGTTTGAGCATAAACCAGACTTGTATCCGAACATAAATCAGATTTGTTGAATCTTTCTCTCTTTCTCTTGTGTCACTGCTGCCCTTCATCATCTTCCCTTTTGGGTATTGTTTCTAGAAAGCTCTGAGCTGAGGTAAAAGTTCAGGCTGTCAACTGGAGGATGAACCCACAGCTTCTGTCAGGTTTAGTCACCGACCCTGCTGAAGGCAGAGCAGTGCTCACCACAGTCTAGATCGACTTGGGAAAGCCATGAAGCTGCCACTAGAGTGAAGACTAGGACTCAACCCTGCTTTCCCCACTGTTGGCAGCACTTGTAGAAGATAAGACTAGGATCTGAGGAAGAAGTGCTGGTGCCTGTTCCTCTGATCACTGGGAATTTACTGTCCACTGGTTTTGTGCAGCCTGGTTCCTAGAGAGGGAGGCTGGCTTTAATGTGCATCTGGCATCAAAGGTCCGCCACAGTGCTACTGTGGACCATAGCTGCCTGGTATGATGTTGTACAATGTGGGCACAGTAGGTAGAGTGACAGAGGACATCTAAGGCACCTGGCAGAGATCTATATCTACTTGGCTCACCCCAGGGTTCCACATGCAGCTTTGAGTATCCACCACCAGCCCAGCCCCTTGTCTGGGGTCAATTCTACCAGCCCATGAAGGAAGACTACCTAACAATGTGCCTATGTCTGGCATAGGCAGTTTATCTGCTGAGCAGATTGACAGGGTTTCACAGAGGGGCAATTCCAAGGACAGGTTTCTGGAGAAGCAGAGTGATACTTCTAAATGGGACTGTGTATCATGTGCTGTGTTGTAGGCACCTAGAGCAAGAGTACAGGGGAAGGCTGAGCCTGCTACGGTCCGAGGTAGAGATGGAGCGGGAGCTATTCTGGGAGCAAGCCCGCAGGCAGAGAGCTGTGCTGGAGCAGGATGTGGGCCGCCTCCAGGCTGAGGAGACCAGTCTCCGAGAGAAACTGACATTGGCCCTGAAGGTAGGTGAAATGCATCCCTGTTATAAACTGTGTTGGCACATGTTGGCAGAGCAGGGTGATATCAAGCTCTCACCCAAAGTAGGAGGTCTTGGCTTTAATCCATCTTCCTCTGTTCTGAGGCATGTGAACTCAAAATCAGAGTGAGTCAGCTACCACAACCAGCATGGCTGCATTCCTGGAGTCTAGAAATACCTCTAGGCACTGCCTGACATATGGCCTGGGTTCACAGTCTGGAACAGACACAACTTTTAGTGTTTTGGTAAATGTCCTTGTACCTGCTTTGCCTTGGGTTCCTAAAAGCTATCTTAGCTGTGTGAACAGCCAAGTTCCAGAAACACTACCCCCAGAGCCTTCTCCACTGCTCTGTTCCCAGCTTCTTTTCCTTTGCTAATGTCTAAGGACCTCTGTGGTCTCTTTCCCTCCCATTCCTGCTTCCAGCAGCCACTGCCCATTGTGGTAGCAGTATCCAGACATAACTCTCTTGACCCTGCTCAGCACAGTCCTTGTCTTCAGATACCTGCTCACACTGTGCTGGACCTCTGAGCTGCTTTGATACAACTTCAAACCTGTCATTTTAAAAGCAGCTCAAAAATGATGCTTTACCAATCCTTTCTTTTGTCACTCATGAACTTTCTAAACATGGGAGTGGGGCCAAGAAAAAGTGAGACAGCGGGGAAGCAATCATTTGGTTTGTCAAAGGAGGTTGTAAGTTCCAACAGCACACCCTGCCTGCTCGGTGCAGAAGCAGCAGGCACCCACATGCCTGCCTTTCTCAGGGCTTTTCCTGGAAAATGCTGCTGGAAACAAGCCTCCACCATACCGAACAGTGACAAGGAGACTTGTCAGTGTCTTTCCCTGTGTCCTGAGCCCAGCCCATACCCATCTGTCTCCTAGGAAAACAGTCGATTGCAGAAGGAGATGATAGAAGTGGTGGAAAAGCTTTCGGATTCAGAGAAGCTGGTCCTACGCCTGCAGAGTGACCTTCAGTTTGTGCTGAAGGACAAGGCAAGCCTTTTTGCTATTCAGAGCAGCACCTGTGGGCAGTGGATCAGAGTCAGGGCATCACAGCCTGTCTTCCCATGGACCCTGATATACTAGTGTGCACATTTCTCTCTTTCAGTTGGAACCTCAGAGCATGGAGCTTCTGGCTCAGGAAGAGCAGTTCACAGCCATCTTGAAAGAGCACGAGCTCAAGTGCAGGGTGCGTGCTTTCCCTGAGTCCGCTTACCCATCTTGAGCATCCCTGAATCCTGTTCTACAGCTTGCCCTAGAACAGTGACAGGAAGGGTAGACCTACTATACAGAACTATGAGGTGGTAGAGACTCCCTGTCTTAAGGCCCCAGTGGACACGTGAGGCCTCACCTCTCTTCGCTCCTTGGTCTACAAGTGACTGCAGGAGCTTCTTTTCCAGCAAGAACTTCTTATTCGGGCTATGGTCAGCCATGTACGGGCATTGCTTAGTTGTGCTGCAGATATTCCAGTCACCAGTCAAATCCCAGGACAGTAAGTGTGCTCTGACTGTACTTCCTGGATGAATCTTCTTAAAGAAATTTCAGTGCAGGAAGAACAGAAAGGAAAATCAGAGTTGACATGGTTCACTACTAATTACTGAAAAGACTTACAAAAAGATATATAAAGTGATTCATCACAAATCTTTGTTACCCAGCTTTTAGTTAGGCTTAATGTACCAAAAGTTAACTGATGGAAAACTTACCAGGAGAGGCATATGTGAGGTTAAAGCTGGACACCATAAAAACTCCTGCCCTGGAAGCTGGATGTACAGTAGTGTGCCTAGCGAATGCAGGAACTGATGCAGGAGGATAGCTTGCACCCAAGAGCTAAAGGCCAACCTTAAGCCAAGCACCTGCCTGTAATCCTAGAACCTGAGAGGTGGAAGCCAGAGGATTAGTTCAGGCTCTTCCATATTTGACTACACTGCCAGTTGGAAGCCAACTTGGGCTGCCTGCAACTGTGTCTCCAGCCCATGACCCCCAACCTACAAAAAACACAGGGTCGCCTGAAAAATGTAAAATGTCTCAAAAAATGTAAAAATGTCTCAAAAACAAACAAGCAACAACAGACTTATAAGAGCCATAGGTCCACTAGCTCCTTCCTTCACAGGCATCAAGGAGACTAAAACAGTAGCTGCTGTACAATATCAGGGACTGTCATGACTGTTAATTCAGTAGAAACTTTCCTAGTCTTGGAATAACACTGTTGATTCTAGACTCGCCTTCATAGGCAACATTGCCAAGGGACCACAGATAAGTAATATGGGTGCTCAGGTAATGGGCACTTAACATTTTACGTGAGGTTGTAGCTCATCAGTAGACCCCCATACATACCATGCGTAAGTCCTGCATCTGGTCTCCAAAGCCAAAATACAACAAACCCACTCAATAATAAACCCCACTGACAGAGATAGAAAGTCTAAGGAGGTCAGTAGACTTTACTATTCAGACATTTCTTTTTCTCCTGTTTTTACTGTGATAATGAAAATATGACAAACAGGATCATATATAGCTATCCTAAGATATTACTAAAGAATGGGGATAAAGCTGGTTTTAGTTACATCAGATACTTTACAGCTCCATTGACTATAAGGCTTTCCTCTGAGACAATTCATGCTGAAAATCTGTAGCTATTTCTGGGGATACCAATATAGGCATTGTTATGACACCCAAGAATTATAAAATAGTCTTACATGATAAGAAAATTGATCCACATTGCAGAAGGCTATGAAGAACCAGACAGAAAACAAACTCAGAAATGGGACTGCTACTGTCTGTGTATGTCTTTAGTTCCTTTTCCTGTCATCTACCTTATCTTAGACTCCCTCCAGATGGAGTGCCCTACAAATTGAGTAGGTGTGTGACCTTGGAAAACAGGTGGCCTTGCTTTTAGGGCCCTCTGCTTGGGGCAGTCTCAGAACTGTAAATATGAGCCTACAGCCAGGATTCATTGTTGTCATACTTTCCAAGATTTTGCAGGGTGCCAAACCTCCCAGGAAAGTGAGCTAGAAGCTTCTTTTCCTGTCCTTTTAATACGCAAGTATCTGAGCCTGCCCATCTAGACATAGTTCATTAAAGTGCAAATAAGGTGATGCTTGTCACAAATGCAGACTCTTCATCCTCATCAGAGGATATCTCTCCCAGCCTCGTTTCTTATTGCCCAGCAACCTGTACCCCATCAGGCTTTTGCTTTCCAGATAATGTCTTTTCTCTCTACCAAGTGCATCACTGCTCCATAGCATTTAATGTAAAACAAATGGCTAACAGCTCTAGAACCCCATACCAATTCCACAGCAGTTGAGAGGAGAGAACAAACACATAGGTCTAGGCATGTCCCACGATGTTGATGCCCATACATGTGCCATGCCATCACTCTGGTGGTAAGTAGTACCTGTTGAGAATTTTGTGTTTTTCTCACAGCCTCAATTTTACTTTCTTCCTTGAGCCCCTTTCATATATCCAGTGACGTAAGCACAAGAAAGTTAAGAAATGGTTTTCTCTGTTTTGCTAGGACCTTTAGGTAGTTTAGAACCTTAAGTCTAGGTTTAGTGTTACATGCTCAAAGTCCAGAATCCACACCCACCTGTATGTCTAGTCTGTGGTATGTCTAGTCAGCTCACTGCAGATAGGGCTGATCTTGGGTTTGGCCTCCCAAGGCTAAGTGGCTGCAGCAGCTGGAGGAGGTATCTGGCTCTGCCCACACAGGACCTACAGGACCGTAACGATGAATTACAAGCAGAGTTAGAAGGCCTGCGGGTGCGGCTGCCCAGGAGTCGACAGAGCCCCCCGGGGACCCCAGGCACCTGTAGAAGGCGGCTCCCTGGACGTGGCCCAGCAGGTAGGAGCTCAGTCCTGAGGGTAAAGTGAGAGTGTAACTCCTGGACATGACCACAAGGCTGGACATGAATTTAGCACACCAGAGGTCAAAGATAAGGAGAGGAGGGTGGAAAAATTGTTATGTTTGTAGAAGTCACAAAAGTTATAATTACCTGACCCCACAGGAGACAAATTTACCGTAGGGGCATATTTCTGCAGTTGATCCTATGAGATCACAGGCAACTTTGTGACAGGGCTAGAGATGGGAGGTCACTGGCATGGAAAGTCATATAGCAAGGTGGGTAATAAAGGCATGGAATATTCCCAGTTGAGAGAGTCCTGGCTACTGGGTTCAGTGGAAACCACTTTGGAGTTTCTTCTGCTGTTGGGCAGTTGAGTCAAGGCAAGGGCCCATGTTTAAGTGTTCTTGGTCTTTTCTAGAGACCAAGGTGTGTATGTGTGGGTGTTGTGGAAATGCCACAGTCCTTGTGGAGGATGGGGGTACTTGGCTGCTCTCTGGCCTCTGCCTGGTTGTACCAGGCAGTCATCAGTGCAATCACTCCAGCTCTGCAGCATCATGTGACACTCATGGCCTCCATCTCTCTCCTGCCCATGGAATCCAGCAACCCTGACTACCCCCACCCCAGTTACACTTCGACAATCCAAGTCCCTCAGCATTGTTCTCCAGTGTCTGAGAGCTCTAGCATTTTTATACCTTCTCAAGAATCCCCAGAATTCTAAACATAAACTAACTGGCAAAATCTCGCCTCTGCTAGAGCTTAAGGCAAGTAATTGTCAGCTGTTATGGGACAATCTGAAACAGCCTTATATCCCACACTTGGGATTAAAACAAAAACATAGTCCCAACATTTCAATGTTTTTAAAGAGACCAAAAATTCTCATTATAGGGTACAGTCACCTGAGTGTGCTGTTCAGCCAGGAGCTCTGCCTTGCCAGAGGGTAGAGGATGATGGTTTCTCCTCTGGTGTTTCACATGCTCAGAGCCTGAGTTGCCCTGAGCATGTGGCCCTGGTCAGGAGTGCAGGGATAGACCTTTGTGGAGCTGTTCACATTTTTCTCTGCATCCACTAGAACCTTCATACCACATTGATTTCCAGGGCTGGACTTAGGTGACTGGACCCTGTATAACAGTGTGCTGTGAAAACAGATCACACAGAATCACCAAGAAAGCACAAGCAAAGACTGATTCGTGTGCACTCATGCATACAGCTGAACATGTTCAAGAGTGTGGAGACTTGGGCTAGGAAGCTTTACACAGTAGGAAGGTAGTGGAACTGTCATCATTCTGTCTTCCCATTTCCTCTGTGCTCCTGGTACCATGTGGAGCCAGGTTTTAAATGCAGTGACTACGCCATCTGATGAGGATCTCTCTGAGTATTAAAGGACCTGTTGAATCTATGGGAGCCTTCAGGTTTCCTTAGTAACCAGTGATATGTAAAGACTTGAACCTTGCTGGAGAATGGTTTAGAGGTTAAGAGCACTATTGCTTTTGCAGAGGACCTGGGCTCAGTTCCTAGCAACCACATAGTAGCTCCCAATCATCTGTAACCCCAGTTCCAGAACATCTACCATGGATCTCTGGCCTCCATGGGCATTGCTTATGCATGGTGCACACACACACACGCAAAACACACATATCATAAAATACAGATACGTTTTAGTGTCAACTTGAAAAACACAGTTTGACCATTTCTGCTGTCCAGAGTCCTCAACCATGGTGCCTCTGGAGGGCAGAGTGACCCTTAGCTACTGGCCCTACATTCTTTTATGTGGTGAAGGTGGAGGACAGAATGAACATCTTGCTGGACCTGCACTCACATAAGTTTTCAGGTGGAAAGCTGCTTTGTCACGTGATGGTGAGAGGCTAGAAGCCACCTAGAGGTTAGATGAAAGGGTCAGGAAGGCACTGGATGCCTCCTAGGCATAATGTTACAGTGTCCTCCTCTTTGCAGGCAATCTGTTTGTAGGTGACTCTACTCCCATGAGTTTGGAGACAGAGATAATGGTGGAGCAGATGAAAGAACATTACCAAGAGCTGAGAATGCAGCTGGAGAACAAGGTAGGGATTTTGGACCCTAGGTTGCAAAGCCGTGTATCTAGCTCCTCAGACTGCCAAGCAAGGCAGGCCACTCTGTTCCTCTGTTGTGTCCTTGTATTCCCTGGCAGATAGGCTGGAAGCTTCTGACCTGGCCTTGCCTGTATATGTGGATTATTTCCTCTACCCTAGGGCTTCCAGGATATGGAGTGCTATCTCACTGGTCTTGTAATGGCTTCTTAGTGGTCATACCCTCTGAACTCATGGTACTTGCCAGATGCTTGGTCAACCTTGGTCCCAAGTCTCCTGAGCCAACCTGTTGAACCTACCTCAGGGCTACTGTCAAGGGGTGGTATAGGCACACTGCATACTCTGGTGACATCACTCTCTTGCTGTCCCTTTTTCTAGATCCTGGGCCGTAGTCAGGTCTAGGCCATAGGTTCTTTGAGTATCCTGCCTGATATTTTCCTGTTTATGGGTCATGCTGCTTGCATGTTGTTGCTAGGACATCCTAATTAACACTGCTCATCTTTCTTCAGGTAAATTACTATGAGAAGGAAATTGAGGTCATGAAGAGAAACTTTGAGAAGGATAAAAAGGAGATGGAGCAGGCTTTCCAGCTTGAGGTCAGCATGCTGGAGGGTCAGAAGGCAGATCTGGAGGCCCTGTATGGCAAGTCACAGGAGGTCATCCTGGGCCTGAAGGAGCAGTTGCAGGATGCAACACGAAGCCCGGAGCCTGCCCCTGCCGGCCTGGCCCACTGCTGTGCACAGGCACTGTGCACTCTGGCCCAGCGGCTAGAAGTGGAGATGCACCTGCGACACCAGGACCAGCTGCAGCAGATAAGGTTTGGGATGAGCTTTGTGTTCAAGGCTGCTCACCAAGAACCAGAATCTGAACGTAGGCTTATGTTAGTGCCTGGGAACAGGCAAATTTCCTCCTGACGAGGGCTCAGAGAACACATTCCTATATAAGGATAATCACCTTGGGCCATGGGGCAGTTTGCTGTGTGGTGTTTGGACTCTGTTCTTTTCCTCCTCCTTGTTGCCTGGTCATAAGATAATGTGTTCCCCATCACTAAATATTGAGGATATTAGAGGATATGTGTATTAGGGTTGTCTAAAGGAACATAAAGGAAAAAATACACACACAGACATATTAAAAGAGGCTTTCAAGCTGGGTGTGTTGGCGCATTCCTGTAATCCCAGCACTCTGGGAGGCAGATGCAGGAGGATCTCTGTGAGTTTGAGGCCAGCCTGGTTTACAAAGCAAGATCAGGACAGCCAAGGCTACACAGAGAAATACTGTCTCGAAAAAATCCAAACCAAAACAAAACCCAACAACAACCAAGAAAGGATTTAAAAAAAAAAAAAAAAAAAAGGATTTCTTAGAGTGGCTTACAGGCTGTGGTGTGGCTAGTCCAACAATAGCTTTCTGTTGGTGGAAACACCAAAATTCTAGTAGTTCAGTCCTTGAGGCTGGATTTCTCAGCTGGTCTATGGTGGAATCCTGAAGAAGGAGGTTCTAATACTAGTGAAGGAATGCCTCAGCAACAGGGTAGATGACTATGCCAGCGAGTGAAGGGCAAGCAGGCAAAAAAGCAAAAGCTCCCTACTTCCATATCCTTTGATATGGGCTGCCACCAGAAAGTGTGGCCAGATTGAGAGTAGGCCTTCTCACCTCAAATGATCAAGAAAATCCCTCACAGATGTACCCAGTTGCTTGAGTTTTAGTCAATTGCAAATGTAGCAAGGTTGACAACCAACATTAGCCATCACAGCAGTCAAGGAAGAACAATCCAGAGGACCCTCTAGATAGAAAGAAAGTTAATTTGGGAGAAAAGTCTTAGAGAGTTAAAATATTTGTACCAAGGAGGGAAAGGGCCACTTGGAAAATCTGAATGTAGTGTGTTTCATTGTGTCCGTTACCTACCCTCTGTTTCTTGAGACCAACTTGGTAGGGTCAGTTCTTGGTTACTAGAGACACACCCAGTGGAAGTTGGCATCCCCCCACACAAAAAAATGGCTCTTTCTACTCTAATACCAGGATAACAGGACCCTCTGAGACCACCAGGAGATGACTCGATGCAACAGCAAGAGAGCTTTATTACGACAGAAGTCGAACTCGGGGCCCAAGTCTCACTGACACAGCAATAGACAAGTGGGACCTCGAGCTCTGAGTGAGCAGGGGGTTTCCATGACAGCAAGCAGGGGGGCACATTCCTTGACGTTATAGGATTAGGTAGAAGTTAGACGGTCGAGGTGACCTTCTCTGAGGCACATAATCACAATCGCCTAAGGCATATAATCACAATTGCTATTCTTCTAAACTATATCTGAAACATTGGGGAGAATTTTCCCAGCCAATTCCCAACCGATTCTCATTGATTATTGCCAGGGAGATTGTCTCTATTTTCTATGAAATATTTATTCTGTGATATTTCCTAAAGGTTGTTGCTAGGAGAGTTAACTTTGTTTTCTGCCAAGTGTACATTCTGTGATATTTCCTGGTACCTGAGTTCAGCTCCCAGTCAAGGTAGCTCTTAATTTCAAAATGGAGTTATACCCAGGCTAACTTAAACTCTTCACTACCTCCTATCCTGACCATCCTCATGTCAGGAGCCTACAGCCTCCTACTGGCTAGACTAAGCAGATGGTTCAGTTGGGTGTTATCTAGGGGCTTGGATGGGTCCAGATGATGACAGTGAAGGGACCCAGTCCTGTCATTATGCTGACAGCAACAGCTCAAGTGGCTGTCATGAGGGTGTCAGTTCCTATTGAAGTTCAGTGTCCTTGGTGAGAGTAGCCAGAAAACATGGCAGGGGAAAGGGGAAATGGAAAGAATCAGAGCTTCCTCTCCTTCCCATCAGGGTGTGATAACAGCAAAGACAGTCAGGGCAATGGAGACCTGAGGGGACTGACTGTTGCAGGCTTCAAGTCACATCACTCTCCAAACTTTAAGCAATTACCTCTTCAACATGAGGATTTTCAACATGTTAAGGGACTGGAACAATGCTCCTTTTGGACCCTGTGTGGTGCCTGAAGGCTGGGGTACAGGAGCCCTCCTGCTTGCAGCCAGGATGTGCCAGGCTCTTCCTTCCCAGTTTGCTGCTCAGCTGGGCACCTGGTAGCTTCTCTTTACAGTTGGAACCACACCTAGTCCAGGTACTTATGGCCCCCTGCTGAGGCCAGAGTGCACAGCGTGCTTCATGCTGGCTGTGTCTGTGTAGCCCTCCCCTCACTCCTACATTCTCTCCAGTCTCCCCAGGCTGATGAGGCCTCAGGCCAAACTGCTTATAGGATTTTCAAGGGAATTTTTGACTCTGGATCAATTTTACCTGTCGCACTAACACTTGGGACCAGTGCTGCTCAGTAGCACTCAGTGCAAGGCCTCCCGCCAGGCTTGACTGAGCACTTGCAGTGTGACCAAGAACAGGAACTTTAATCGTGCCTGATAGTAACCTGCATTATCGTTAAGCTGTCAGACATGGTAAGTGGTTCTGTACTGCCCTCTGTGTTTAGTGTTGTGGACTCCACAAAGGACTCCAGGGAAGGAACAGGATATCATGACCAAGTAGGTACAGAGAGAAAAGTTGTGGGGTTAGTTACAGTCTTAGAGCAGAAGTTCAAGTGGCTTTTTCTTCCACGAGTGGTAGGGCCTGGGATTCAGCTGTCAGAACCCAAAGTGTATAACTGTGTTTCTGTAGGAGGGAGGCAGAAGAAGAGCTGAACCAGAAACTGTCATGGTTGGAAGCCCAGCATGCTGCCTGCTGTGAGAGTCTATCCCTGCAGCATCAATGTGAGAAGGACCAGCTGCTGCAGACGCACCTGCAGCGAGTCAAGGACTTGGCTGCCCAGCTGGACCTGGAGAAGGGGTGGCGGGAAGAGAGGGAAAAGGAGGTCCTGGCACACTGTCGGAGGCAGCAGTTGAAGCTGCAGGCTGTGATGAGTGAAGAGCAGGCACGAATCTGCAGGTCGTTCACCCTGGAGAAGGAGAAGCTAGAACAGACCTATAGGGAGCAGGTGGAGGGACTTGTACAGGAGGCAGATGTGCTTCGTGCACTCCTGAAGAATGGAACCACTGTTATGAGTGACCAACAAGAAAGGATACCCAGCTTCATGTCCCTAGTTCCAGACATCAGGCAGCAGCCACCAGCCCAGCAAACTGTCAGCCCTGATGGAAGGACAGGGGTACCAGCAGAAGAGTGGCCTGGCCAAGGGAAAGCTGTGGGGAGGGATCTTCCTAGCTGGCCTTGTAGTCTAGATGCCATACCAAGCCCAACCCCAGCCCTAGTGCCCAGAAGATCCTCAGAGAGTCTGGGTGTCAGAGATGTCCATCAAGGTCCGCTCAGTGCTGAGGAGGGATCTGTTTCAAAGGAGCCAGAGCCTCCTGTCAGACCCCAAACAGGCCAGGGCCAGAAGCTGCCCTTGCCTATTCAGCCCCAGATGTTGGAGCCATGGTTGGGCCCAGTTGCTCTGGACAGAAAGCCAGCTCCTGTTGGGGTTCAAGGACAGGCTTCAGAGGGGCTGGCTAGGCATGGTGAAGGTGTCGAAGAGACTTGGCTCCAGGTCAGGGAAGGCGCTGCCAGGATGATGCCCTCATGGCCAGGCTCTGAGCTCCCAGACCCACAAGAGACCAAATTCAAGCACCTTGCCACTCCGGAGGAGACAGATGCCAAAGTGATGTCAGAGAGTGAGATAAAAGATGTGAAGACCAAACTTTTGCAACTGGAAGATGTTGTCCGGGCTCTTGAAAAAGAAGCAGATTCCAGAGAGAACTACAGGTTTGTCGCTCCTAGACTTAAATTGCCCATGAAACCCTCAGACTTGTCTCTAGTGACTACTGCACTGTGTCCCCAATTGTAAGCTCTTGACTGCCAGTGTGGCAGGGTAACTCCCATTACTTGTGCAGGAATCACAAGCCTATCTTGCCTCCTGGCTCCCCTGACTAGGCATCAGCAATTGGGCCAAGAGAGGAAGGGTAGGTCTTTCTGAGGTGCTCAGCTACCTCTTGGTGTCTTCACCCCTCACGTCATGAGAGGCTTCATGTGACTGAAATGTAGGTTTTGGGTACGGCACAGTGACATAGTGTACTTAGCATGTGTGAGGTCCTGTGTTCTGTCCCTACCACCAAAAAGAAAAAAGTAGAATTTCATACATGCAAATGTCACTATCTAAACAGCTTAAGAAAGCAGACATGGCTTCCTTTCAGTAGGAACTGCTGTTTTCCAGTCATTTGCCAAAATAAAAACCAGGTGGGAAAAGAAGAGGCATTGATATATGTTCTGTTGGAGTTGGGGTTTTTGTTTTTGTTTTGTTTTGGGCCACATATGTAGGAATCTGTGAGAAGGGCACTACTGTAGACATCAAAGTACTGTTCAAATAGGAATACCCCATATATGTTAGTGTGCCTGACAGGGAAGAGCCTGCAGTGTCGCCCAGCATGCTGCTGGCCCTGCTATAAACAGGGGGAGAGTTAAGGGTGAGAGTCTCATCAAGAGCATTAATCTGTACTTTGAGTACATTAGTCACCCTGCAAGAGCTGAGAGAACTTGCTTAGATGGGTGAGGAAAATAGTCAAGAAAAGAGGATGCCAAAGGGAGAGGAACCTATGGTCAGCTGCAGTGCTAGCCTGCTCTACCCGAGGAGCTTGCTTTGTGGAAACAGAAAGCCTGAGCTGGAGCCCATCCCCCATGACTTCATGATCTAGGAGTGGGAAACGACATGATAGTGGCCCATATGTCTGTGTGTGTGTGTGTGTGTGTGTGTCCGCGCGTGTGTGTTGTCCTTTAACCTTTATTCAGCACACTGTTCAATAGAGACAGGCTGTAGGTCATTTCAGGAGCCACAAAGTAGGCCACTGAGCCATCTTTCCAGCCCCATTTGTCACTTTTATTAGCTGGAATTCTCTATGCAGAATTATAGGAAGGGAGAAAGATGGAGGAAAAGGGGGGGTGTGTGTGTGCCAGCCTAGATAGTAAGTTTTTCTTAATAAAATTGAAGTGTATGTCAGGCAGTGGTGGCAATTGCCTTTAATCCCAACACTCAGGAGACAGAGGCAGCCAGATCTCTGAGTTCTGGTCTAAAGAGTTAAGTTCCAGGGCAGCCAGGACTATGCAGAGAAACCTTGTCTCAAAAAAACCCTATAAAACTAAAAATGTTTTTAATTGAGGCATGTTTCTTCTTTAAACATTTAAAGCAAAACCAACCAAATCCCAGCACCCTCCAGGCCTACCTACATTGTACCCAAAGGGCTCTGCATTGCCTGCAGGTGTTTGTAGGCATCTCTCCACACCTTTGCCTCCTAAGCAGGTGACCCTGCTGTAGAGTATTGTCCTCAGTACCACGACTTCTGATAATTCTAGTGTCTGTAGTTCCTGGGGATCTCACTGTTGTTTCAGAAACAACAGTTAGTTGTTTCTGCTGTCATTCCTGGTGGCCTTTTCATGTGTCTGTTGATCTGTGTGTTCATATTTACTTGAGGCTAACCTCAAGGAGACCTGAGAGCCTCAGTAGAGGATGCGTTGATGTATTACCTTTGCAGAGAAGTGGAGCACCACTCACCTGAGACTGCCTGGGCCTCTTTCTATGCCCCAGCTATGTGCATGCCCACATTTTATCTTCTCTGTCCTTGCTGGTGGTGAGCTGACATAGATATTGTGCCCTGGACTGGCACATCTTTGTGAGATATACTGCCCAAAGTTTCCGTTTGGCTTCCAGATTTTTGTTTGGTTTGAGGCCCTTGGAGTATGGCCTCTGAAGATGACACGCACTATGTGTGACTTGGTTCTTCACAAGCTTTAGGTGTCTGTGGAGTCTAGGTGCTGAGTGCATGTAGGAGTTGTGGGTGTGGTCCAAAGGGCTTGGCCTTGGGGAGTGCAAACTGGAGCTTGCTCCCTCTCCTGGAGAATGTCTCCTGCTTGCCTCCTCTGGAGAGGGGTTGCAGCCTGCAGTTTTCAGCCCTCCCAACTATGAGCTGGCTGTGAGGTTGTGTTCACCTTGCCCCTTCTAGGCCTCAACGTACTTCTTTAACTTTGATCACAGGGCTGCATTTCAGAGGCTTTCTGAAGAAAACTTTGTGTTGAAAAGTGACCTGGGGAGGATTCAGCTGGAACTAGAAACTTCAGAGAGCAAAAATGAAACGCAGAGGTAAGGTGGGCCTCACAGTTTCTTATTCCTGTGTATTGCCGGCCGTCGGGACTCTAGAATGAGCTTAGGAGGGGCAGGTTGACAGTGAGGGACTGTGAGAAGATGGGCAGGCTGGAGGCCTCCAGCCCCCTTCTGTGGGTCAGCAGCCCCTAGATTTTTACACCCTTGGAGCTCAGACAGAGTTCTGGTGTGTGTGTAACCTGCCCCATAACTGGCATCCCTCCCACAACCTAGGACATGGAATGTATCATCCCTGCAGAAATGGTCCATGAAGTACTTGAGGGCTGGGGCTGCCAATGTTTGGAGGGTAGCAGAGCCTGACACAGCCTGGTGACAGCCCACTGTGCTTTTCTCCAACCTTTACTACTGTCTTCTGCAAGTTAGTGAGTCAGAGCTGGGGATATGTTAGCCAGGTTATGAACTGATGTTTTTAATCTGCTTCTTCAATAGGCAGGAGATTGAGGTTTTAAAGAGAGACAAGGAACAGGCCTGCTTTGACCTGGAAGAGCTCAGCACACAGGTCAGTATTGACTGGCATGAGTGGTACTGCCCCTGCCCCTTGCTTTAGTGTTGAACTAATTTCTCTAATGAAGGGGGATTAGATTTTTTTTTTTCCTACAGGATCCTGTTGCAGCCAACCCTAGTTCTCATCATGTCCCTGGTGAGGATCTGAGTCCTTACCTCCTCTCATAAGGACTCCAGTATCGGTTACTCTTTTTTATTATTATTATTTTTAAATTATACTTCATTTACTTTGTATCCCCCCTCTAGTTCCCTCCCTCCTTCCCTCCCAAACCGTCCCTTCTTCCCCCTTCTCCACACACTCCCCTCCCCAAGTCCACTGGTAGGGGAGGGTTTCTTTTTCTTCCTTCTGATCTTAGTCTGTTAGGTCTCATCAGGAGTGGCTGCATTGTCTTCCTCTGTGGCCTGGTAAGGCTGCTCCCCCCTCAGGTGGAGGTGATCAAAGAGCAGGCCAATCAGTTCATGTCAGAAGCAGTCCCTGTTCCCATTACTATGGAACCCATTTGGACACTGAACTGCCATGGGCTAAATCTGTGCAGGGGTTCTAGGTTATCTCCATGCATGGTACTTGATTAGAGTATGAGTCTCAGGAAAGACCCCTGTGCTCAAATTTTTTGGTTCTGTTGCTCTCCTTGTGGACCTCCTGTCCTCTCCAGCTCTTACTATTATTTCCCGCTTCTTACATAAGATTCCCTGCATTCTGCCCAAAGTTTGGCCATAAGTCTCAACATCTGTTTTGATAGTCTGCAGGCAGAGACTTTCAGAGGCCCTCTGTGGGAGGCTCCTAACTTGTTTCCTGTTTTCTTCTTCTTCTAATGTCTATCCTCTTTGCCTTTGGAGTAGGGATTGAGCATTTTAGCCAGAGTCCTCCCCCTTGATTAGTTTCTTTAGGTGTACAGATTTTAGTAGGTTTATTCTGTTATATGTCTGTATGAGTGAGTATATACCATGTGTGTCTTTCTGCTTCTGGGACAGCTCACTCAGGATGATCCTTTCCAGGTCCCACCATTTACCTGCAAATTTCATGATTTCCTTATTTTTCGTTGCTGAGAATTACTCCATTGTGTAGATATACCACAATTTCTGCATCCATTCTTCAGTTGAGGGGCAGCTGGGATGTTTCCAGCTTCTGGCTATTACAAATAAAGCTGCTACAAACATGGTTGAGCAAATGTCCTTATTGTGTACTTGAGCCTCTTTTGGATATATGCCTAGGAGTTGTATGGCTGGATCTTGAGGAAGCGCCAGATTGATTTCCAGAGTGGTTGTACAAGTTTAGATTCCCACCAGCAGTGGAGGAGGGTTCCCCTTTCTCCACAACCTCTCCAGCATGTGTTGTCACTTGAGTTTTTCATCTTGTGGTGTAAGGTGAAATCTCAGGGTCGTTTTGATTTGCATTTCCCTGATGGCTAATGAAATTGAGCATTTCTTTAAGTGTTTCTCTGCCATTCGATATTCCTCTACAGAGAGTTCTCTGTTTAGCTCTGTTCCCCATTTTTTAATTGGATTACTTGATTTGTTGCTTTAGTTCTTTATATATACTGGATAGTAGCCCTCTGTCAGATAGAAGGTTGATGAAGAGTCTTTCCCAATCTGTAGGCAGTCGTTTTGTTTTGATGATGGTGTCCTTTGCTTTACAGAAGCTTTTCAGTTTCATGAGGTCCCATTTATTGATTTTGTTGCTCTTAGAGCCTGTGCTGTTGGTGTTCTGTTCAGGAAGTTGTCTCCTGTACCAATGAATTCTAGGGTCTTCCCCACTTTTTCTTCTAACCGATTTAATGTGTCTGGTTTTATGTTGAGGTCTTTGATCCACTTGACCTTTAGTTTTGTGAAGGGTGGTAAGTATGGATCTATTTTCATTTTTCTGCATGTAGACATCCAGTTAGACCAGCACCATTTGTTGAAGATGCTATCTTTTTTCCATTGTATGGTTTTGGCATCTTTGTCAAAGATCAGGTGTCCATAGGTGTGTGGGTTTATTTCTGGGTCTTCCATTCAGTTCCATTGATCCACCAGTCTGTTTCTATGCCAGTACCATGCAGTTTTTATTACTGTTGCTCTATAGTACAGCTTGAGATCAGGGATGGAGATACCTCCAGAAGATCTTTTACTGTAGAGGATTATTTTAGCAGTTCGTATCAGTTACTCTTTAAAGGTCTTCTTTCCAAATCTAGCCAACACTCTGGGGTGCTGTGCTTAGGAATTCAGTCCTTAACAATATCACAGCCAAGATGTGGTGTTGATCAGCTCTTGGAGCATATTTAGATGCCCCTATTTTCATATCTGTCCTCACTGGTTGCTTATGCATTGGACCCTGCATAATTGTATCACCTCAGTAGACTCCTGTGTTCTTCACAGACATGTGATTGGTGTTTGTATTAGGGACTCCCTGTTGCCATTTAATTGCTAAGCCATCTTTCCCACCTGGCAACCCTAATCTTCCCTCTTTCCCAAAAATGTCATTTCAAAGAATAATGTAAATAGAACTATCTAAAATGCAGCCTTTGGGGTTGTTTTGTCATGCATCACCGTTCCTTTGGGAGTTGAGGACCAACAGTTTCTGTGTAGCAACATTTTCTAATTATTGCTGTATGGCGTGTGTGTGTGTTCTTCTGAATTGTATCATGACATTGCTCTTAAATACATCAGCAGATATCTCTCCAACAATTGCATTTCTTGCCGTAATGCTGAAGAGACCTAATGCTACTAGCTCATATTAGTCATTCCAGAGTCACATTGCTTCAGTGATCCAAAGATTTCACAGTAAGCAGCTGACATATTCATATAACTGTCAGCTCTCTTTCTCTCTCTCGCATGTGTGTGTGTGTCTAAGCCAGCTATTTTGTTTGCAAAGTGAAGGGGTTAGAGAATGAGCCTGGCACATTTCTAGTGACATCCTTGATCAGCATCATCAGAGATGTAGCTGAGAAGACTGGATATCTGGGGAGATCAGTGGTGTTCCTAATGTGTGTGTGTGTGTGTGTGTGTGTGTGGGCATGGTGCTTCTCGGTGGGGCCAGGTTCTGGGGGTGTCCTAGGCAGAGGTACTGAAGGTCAGTATCCAAGAGGGTCAAGTAGTTACTGTTTCTAGTGAGTCCCATTGAGATTCGTGGAAGCACAGGATAGCTCCCTCATTGGGCACATGTCCAGTCACATGACAAACAAGAACCTGGGTGCATCAGTCACAACTGATAAGACTGACAGGAGGAATTTGAATAACAGTGGATCAGTGTTTCTTTCTCAGGAAGACTTGGAGTTAGGATGCAGAGATTATAATTCTTTCTTCCTGTAGAGATCTGTGATGTATGGATTTCTGTTTGTGTTCTATAGAAAGTTATTCAGACAAAAAAACTATGCAAATGAATGAAGCAGCTACAGGGGAAGATTTCCAGAAATCTTCTAGGTCCTGGATATATCTTCTTTTATTTATTATATATACAGTGTTCTGTCTGCATGTCAGAAGAGGATACCAGATTTCATTATAGATGGTCATGAGCCACCAATAATTCCCAGTGGTTGCTGGGAATTAAACTCAGGGTCTCTGGAAGAACAACCAGTGCTCTTAACCCCTGAGCCATCTCTATAGCCTTAGACTCAACTTCTTGTTGTATATATTTATGGAAAATTTCTCCTTTGGAGCTAAAGCTAAGGAAGGTCTTTTCTACTTTCATAAATTAATAAATTCAGATTATGTACATAAAAATTGTATTTGAACTCTTTTTGCTCTAGACTCAGAAATACAAGGATGAATTGTCACAGCTTAACTGCAGGATCCTTCAACTAGAAGGAGACACTTCTGCCCTCCACACCCAGAAGGAGGAAAATCGCATTGCCATCCAACTGTTAATGCAGAAGCTGGAGGAGGCAGGATGCCGGGAGGAGCAGCAGGTTAGGAGCCACGGTGTCCTGCAAACCTTGGTGGATGGTTGGAAGGTGGGCCCACTGGGTGGTGGAGGCTGAGCAAGTAGGTGGGTTTCCCAAAAAGTGAAATAAAGGGCAAGCCCTGTAGAAATGGATCGGCCTGAGCCGATTTGGCAAAGCCACCAGGATGTAGAAAGCGGAGCATATTGGGTTACTGTGGGTCGTAGGAAAGCAAATGGTAAGATCAACAGCAAGGACCCAGAAGTGTCCCCGCACATTAGCTTTATAATTCTGCTTGTGAAGACTGCACCTAAAAACATTATCGATTTAGCTAGATTTGTTTTTATTGATGTCCTATTTATAATATTGAAACAGGACCAGAATCAATTTGAACATCAGCAGTAGGTGAATGAGTAACTGATGGCACAGCCATTAGATACCAAGTTCTCAAGTAGCAGTGTTTGGGAATAATCCAGGTTTCATAAGGAGGACAGCACTGCATGACTCTGTGCTTTCTGATACGAGTTCACAGCAGATGTGAACTTGTGTAGAAGAGGGCAAAGAAATTAAGTGTGGGCCTCGGGCTCTCAGGGTCAGGGGAGAGATCATAATTTATCTTGTTTTTTCTTGTTGTTCAGTTTCTGCGTTTTGGGGTCTGCTTTTAATTATGAAAATGTCTTTTATAAACAGGGTGACCAAATCCAAAACCTTGAAGTTGAACTTGAACGTGTGAATGAGGAATGCCAGCGCTTACAACTGTCACAGGCAAAGATGACAGAAAGCCTTGAAGAAAGTCAGGGCCAGGTGGGTAGGTGAGGTGGTTGGAGGTACTTGGTCCAGTCCTAGGCCATGAAAGTAGGCTGACAGTTGCCATGACTCATCCAGCCCCCAAATGTTATTTGGCCAACCTGATGCTCCACAGCTGACCAGAAACTCATCAGGCTCAGAGATATTCCAATTCTGTTGTTAACATAAACAGATCAGCTTTGCCTCAAACAGGATCTCTGATGGAGGTATGTCCCATTCTTGTCTCTGGGGTCTCAGAGGTGTATAGACTGTGGCAGCCAGTTCTTTTAAGCTGCCAAGGGTGTTCTGTGTTTTAGATGAAGCATCCAGCATCAAATTCATTGAACTTGTGTTTCATTCCTACCTCTAATTGCTTGATTGAAGGACTTGACAAAGTTTTTATGCATATGTTAATAGCAGTGACTGCTCATAGCCATGCTGAGCTCTGTAGCTCTGGTTCCCTGGGTTTAGGACTTTATGCTATAGTCAGTTTCATCCCTGTGCCTGAATTCTCAATTCCTGTATATTAATCAATATATATAATCAATATAATACCTGAGTCATAGCTAAGTCTCAGAACTGTGAATTCCCCATGTAAGGAAACCAGGTGAGGCTCACATGGCTTACACCTCACTCTGGTCACATGAAGTAGGCTGTGATGGACAGTGAATGGAACAGAACCCGATCCAGCAACAAGAACCAGAGCTGTTGTTCTGAGGGTTACAGACAGTCTTTCCCTATCACATTGCATGGAAACACTGTGACTACTGGGAACGTGGTTCCAAGTCCCTGAGGACTGCTGTATACACCTAGGCAGATCCCACAGCACAGGGAGTGAGCTCTTTTGCTCTCTGAGGTAATCTAAACACAGAATATAACACTAGCACCTTTCACTATGTCTGCATTCATCAGTCATGCCAAAACTTACCCTTATAGCTGCACAATGTCCAGCTGAGACTGGAGGAAGCACAGTCCCAGCATGGCTGTGTTGTTCAACGTCTGCAAGAACAGATGGGTCATTTGGTTCCTGGAGCTCGTGAAGCTGAGCTGCAGCACCTACTCAACCTCAAGGAGGAGGAGGCTGCGAGACGACTAAATGCACAGCAGGTGGGTGGGGATGTGCCATTTCAGGCTAGTTGAGGGTGAGGGCAAGGAAGCTGGAATGGCAAAGGACGTCTTATAGAAGCTGTGGGTAGAATAGGGTCATGGTGAGTTCTCTCATAGTTGAAGAGTAAGAAGCCAGCTAACCCCATAGGCCCCTCCAGCCCGAGTCCCCAGGTCCTCCTAAACACATTCTCTGTTTATGTCATACCATCGTAGTCGGCCACCAATGGAAATAACTGAAGAATAATACCATTATGGAATATCATCTTTTGACAATTGCCCATTTATGATGAAGATCCTGTGGACAGAGCAGTCCACAGGGTCTCTCTGAACTAGAGAAAGGTGGTTACTTCAGAGCCTGTGGAGACACTGTTGATATCTGCACAGGTAGCAGATCATCAGTGTCACTCAGATTTCTGCAGTTAGTAATTTTTTATTTACAAAACAACTCAGGGATTTGTTTATAAGTGCAAAAACTGGAACTTTTGTACAGGAAGAATACAAACAGCAACTGAAGGCCAGGGAGGACCAGGTGGAGGATGCTGAGGCTCGGTTACACAATGTGGAGTGGCTGCTCCAGGAGAAGGTGAAGGAACTTCGAGAGCAGGTGAGTGCAGCCTCTTGCCCTTCCTCAGTGGACTCTCCTCTCTGTGGCCCAGGAAGTCTGTGTCCCCAGAACCTGAGATCCATTGCGGGGATCATTCAGAACTATAGGCAGAAAGTGCATACGTTTTCTTTAAATTAGTAGTTACTAATCCAGGGAGATGGACTTCTCAGTACATACCATACTGTATTTGCACATCATGTCAAAGTTGTGGCTGCATTCTCAGGATGGACACTATTGGTTCATCTTTTGGCTTGTCAGTCATCAGATGCCCTTCTGGGTCTCTGTGAAGACTGCCTCAGGGATCTCACTTTAGAGGCTGAGAAAGAAACCTTAGCACAGGTAGGGTCGTTGAGTGTCACATGTAGGTGAAACTACACTTGAACTGGAGCCCAGGAAAGAGGCAGAAGTCCTTCACTGTGACAGTACTCCTGGATGAGGCTTGTGCTGAGGGACCTCCTGACCAGGTATGTGCCTGCCACATTCTAGTCCTCCACTAGCCCTCCCTTTATAGTTTCAGGCGAGGGTTTGGCACTGGTGTGGCTGGCTGATGAGCTCAAGTGCCTGGTGCTTCTGATGTGATTTGGTATATACACAGCTGACACTCAGTTGGTACCTCCTCATGAGTTTACTTGAGTATACAGGACACAGCCATCCATTTCTTGCCACAGTAATTTTCAAAACAAAGTAATTTCAGCCAAGGCTGTTGCTTTATAACGTGGAGCCATCCAAGGCTAGGCACAGCCTGAAAGCTGCCACTCACTCAAAACTAAGCCAGGCCAGCCTGTTTTCACTTCCACTCCAAGTCTCTCCAACCATAGCTCTTCACACCTGCCAGCCACGGGCCTTTGTATGTAGCCTTTTCTCTGCTTGCAGTGCTCATGGCCAGCTTTGACTAGCTTCTTGGCTTATTCATACCTCTGTTTTCAGATGGGCTCTCCCCTGTTCATCTCACCCATAATGGCATACACTGCTCTGGTTCCTTTGCCTTTTGTTTCTGTCTGTGCCATTGTTAGTGTGTTCTGTCACAGCAGTGGTGTTGCCAGTGTGGGCACAATGTCTATGTCCGTATATTCCATATGACCTCATGGAGCCCAGTGCTCAGCTCTTGTGTCTGTGTGTCTTGAAGAAGGACACAACGAGGGCTACTGCCTGAAACAGTGTCTCCATCAATGAAACCTGTCCAGCCTCCCTGTATATAGCAACTGGCTCACACACCTGGCTGTGAGGATGGCTGTAACGACTCAGTGTGTTCTTTGTGGCATCACCAAGGAAGAGCACACAGACAAGAACCAAGCACTCCGGAGACTTCAAGATTTCATTGTTTTACCCTTGTAGGGCTTTTTGTTTCAAAGCAAAAATGATCATAAAATTATCTTATGTTTTCCCTAAATAGTTCTGCAGATTCTCACTTTCCTCCCTTGTATCAGGGAACAGAAATTGTCATTGTATCCAGTATGTGTGTCTGACCTCAAGAACACCAAGGGCAGTGCTGGAGTAGAGGATAAGGGGCAGGCTGGCCTATCAACCCACAGCAGTTGACAGGAGAATGTGGCTCTCTTCCCTGTCTAGCTGGAGAAGAACACTAGGTCCGACCTGCTGCTCAAGGAACTGTATGTGGAGAATGCCCACCTCACGAAAGTTGTTCAGCTCACAGAGGAGAAGCAGCGAGGTGCTGAGAAGAAAAACTGCGTCCTGGAAGAAAAAGTTCGAGCTCTCAACAAACTGATCAGTAAGATGGCACAAGCATCACTTTCCGTGTAGAGGCTGCTGTTTCTTGGAGTTCATGTGAAGGAATATCTTTTTAAATAATGCTCCTCTGGTGCCATAAGTTCCTATGGCTCACTAGCCATACCCCCTAGACACAGGAGGGGTCCTGGTCACCCTACAAGCATTCAGTGAATGTCTACTATGTGCCAGGTTCTGAGGAAGCATACATGGTACGGTCTGTTGTGGCCAAGGGTCTAGGGGTAACATTCTGGGTTCAGTTTCTAAGTTTGACCCTATTGAGAATGACCCAGTGTCGCGCGCGGCCTTTGCCGATAAGGACGACGCGACAACCGAGGATTTCTTCAGCGGCAAGTTTATTGTACAGCTCTTTCTTGCAGATGGTGAAGGACCTAAACCCCGGGTTGTGCTCTGCTTAAATAGCCAGCAGCGCGACCTGTCCGTCTGTAATTGGTGCTCTGTTCAAGTCTTCATAAGCATATGGCTGGCAATTGGAGTGCAGCCTAAACCCTCATTAGCATAAAGCTGCGCATGCGTAAACTGCAGGGCGGCGCAGGCAAGAAGCGCGAAAATGCTGGCAAGAAGAACCAGGAAGCAGGAAGCCGGCGCCATCTTGTAATGGCGGGAGCGGCTCCCGACAACCCAGGCTCTCAGTAAAAAACAACAGAGAGAAAGGAGCTGAGTATTTTTGAGTGTTGTGCTTTGGGCTGGAAGACTGAAATGCAGAATCAGGTTCCAAGTGTTTTACCCCTGTGTGGGATGTTGTCAGAGCTCTCCATGTGGGTCAGTACATCCCCCTGGGAGGAGGGCATTCTCCAGCAGTCCTCTGCTGCTCCTGGGGTGGGAGGGAAGGTGGCATCTGAGGTGGTGGACTCAGGGAGAGCAGTGTTCATTATACAAGTGCAATCTCATTACAAAATTGTTATCACACTGGAAATTGTACATTTTTAAAGGTATAGTTTTATAACTGAGATATACCTAAATTATGACCATTTGATTTACCAGAGTATTCTACTGTGATATGAAGAGCTCCTGTATTTTCAATAACTTCTTTTCTATTAAAATTGATTTAACTCAAGGGTTTTTTTTTTGTTATTGTGCAAGCATGAGGACAGAGATTAGATCCTTGCAGTAAAAATACAAGCAGAGACTGACAGGTGTAGTAGCGCATATCTTTAATCCAGTGGTTCTCGAGTTGTGGGTCACAACGCCTTTGGCAGTCACATATCAGATATCCTGCATGTCAGATATTTACATTACAATTTTAGCAAATTTACAGTTATGAAGTAGCTGTGAAATAATTTTAGGGATGGGAGTCATCACAATATGAGGAACTGTATTAAAGGGCCACATCATTAGGTCATTAGGATGGTTGAAAGAACCACTGCTTTAATCCCATCACTCAAGAATCTGGCAGGTGGATCTCTTTGAGTTTGAGGCTGGCCTGGTCTCCACAGGGAGTTCCAGGACAGCCAGAGCTACATAGTAAGACCCTGTCTTGGGGGAAAACAAAAAACAAACAAACAAACAAAACAGGAAACAAACAGGGATTCCCTACTCCAGTCAGCTCTTTACCCAGAAGTGAACAAAATGTAAGAGTCTAGTTTTACCCATCAGTAAAATACTAATCTCAGTATAGTTTGTGTTATACCAGCATAGGCACTGTAAAAACTCAGAGTGGGGACAGGTGGTGGTGGTGCATGCCTTAACTTTAATCCCAACACTTGGGAATCAGAGACAGGTGCCAGTCTAGTCTACAGAGCAAGTTCCAGGACAGCCAGGACTACACAGAGAAACCCTGTCTCAAAGAAAAAACAAAAACCCACCTCACAGTGGGTACACTTCTTAATTTGGGCTCTGCCTAGCACTGAAGTGAAAGGAGATTAGAAGGCAGCAGACACAGCTCAGGTGTGAGGTTCCTGATGTACCTGTATGAAGACCTTAGTTCAGAGCTCACTGCTGGCACAGCGGTGTACCTATAATACCATCACAGGAGAAGTAGAGACAGGAGTTTCCTTGGAGCTTACAAGCCAGCCATTCTAGCTGAATCCGTAAGCTCTAGGTTCACTTAGAGACCCTGGCTCAAAAACTAAGGTGAAAGCCAGGCGACTGTGGCATACGCTTTTAATCCCAGCAATCGAGAGGCAGAGGCAGAGGCAGAGGCAGATGGGTTTCTGTGAGTCTGAGACCACCCTGGTCTACAAGTGAATTCCAGGACAGCCAAGGCTGCAGAGAGAAACCCTGTCTCGATAAACAACACACACAGTGAAGACCAACTGAGAAAGATACCCAACTCAACTCAGTCTCTGGCCTCCACATACATGTGCATTAGCAACCACAGTGAAGGGCCTAACAACATGATCAGCTAACATAGAAAAACCGAATCCACCCTCAAACACAGCAGTAGTAAATAAAGCTGTAACATTTACTGTGATAAACCTTGTTTGGGGCCTTATACAAGTCTCAAAAAAAAAAAAAAAATTACGAAGACTGAAGTAATACCTAGTATGTTCTATCATCATGATAGCTAACACCTTATAGGAAATTATTTGAGAGGTGAAAAGGATCAAAACACACTGTATGAAATTCTCAAAAATACTTACAATTATTTTCGTTTTAAAAGTATATTCTCTATATAAATGAAATCAAATTAGAAGCCAAAACTAAACTGATGTAGGGATGCACATCTTTAATCCCAGCACTCATGAGGTAGAGGCAGGTGAATCTCTTCGAGTTCCTGGACAGCCAGAACTGCAGAGATCCTGTCTCAAGCAAACGAACAAGAATGAGAATCCAGAACCAGAAAGACAGCTGAAGCTGGGTGAGGCAGCTCAAGACTGTAATTTTAGCATTCAGGAGGCTGAGGCAGAGCATCAGCAGTGCTGAGGTTTCCTCTGGGACTGATCTTCAGAAAAACAAGGATGCTGCTGTCTGCATAGGATAACTGACCTGTTCAGCAGTGTAGCCTCCAGCCCCCCACAGCTCCTGAAGGCTCAACCTCACCTTCAACTTACTGAAACCGCCACTTGGCCAAAATAACTTTTCTGGGGACTTACTCTAGTCTACGTTTACATCTTCCACTGGATAAATATTTTGAAACAATACTTTTGAAAAAATACATAGTTTTCGTCCATATTAGAACAAAGCCATGACACTGGTACCAACTCGCCTACAGGCAGTCTTGAGCAACCACTGCAAAAAATTCCAAATTACGGTGTCTTCCTTTCCTTTCCCAAATAGGTTGATGATAAATTACCATCTTTACTTGAGGGAGTGGTGTAGGAACATGTATTTCAGAAACTCAGCTCCTTGGCAGGCACAACATACACTTGTAAAACCCACTGAAGATGTGCCACCCAGGTGATCCCATCATGAAAACAGATTCATACTGAAGACTTTATTTTCATTTATAAAAGTACATTTACTGTGGGAATGGAATGCCTAGAGATACAGCTTATAACAAAGGCTTACCAGCTGGCAGATTATGTTCCTAGCCAGTATTCCAGGTATAATTTGCTCTTTGATTTTTGTTGTCTTGTCTTTTGGGGTGATAAGGATGGGTTTCTCAAATGCTAAGCAAGTGCTCTACCACCGAGCTACACCCCAAGCTCTCTTGGTTATCTTAAAGCATGTGTATAAACTTAAAATCAAAGAAGCACTCTGGAGGTCCAGTAAGGACATTTATATAAACTGGACTTAGCTTCACATGTGGCAGAGCCTTGCTGTTATCACCACAGGACACAGTCAGGACAGCACATGCTCTAGAATTCCTTGTCTGATTAACTGCTCACACTTCCACCGAGGCAAAAAGTGCTGCAAATAAAAGGAAGTAGAGGGGAAAGAGTGAGAAATGATTAGGGAAAAAGTTCAATTACATTTTGCATCAGTAAAAAGCAGTAGCTGATTGATTATATATCTTATCAAATTCCACAGCTGTGTAGATAAAAGCTAAGATTAACTAATGTGCTGTTCTAGCCAAGTAAATGATACCACTACTAATTAAACACTACTAAAGTTTATTTTTATAAAAGTTTCTCCAGGCATTGATGATATACATCTTAAATCCCAGCACTCAGGAAGGCAGAGGCAGGTGGATCTGTGAGTTCAAGGCCAGCCTGGTCTACAAAGTTAGTTCTGGGACAGCTAAGGCTACACAAAGAAACCCTGTCTCAAAACACAAAACAAAAAAACTTACTCATTTTTATTTTATATGTATGAGTGTTTTGCCTGTGTGTGCCACATGTATACCTGGTGCCCATCAGGGAACAGAAGATGGCACAGGGTCACCTTGGACTAGGGTCCTCCACAGGGACATGTGCTTAACGTGCCATCTCTCCATCTCCTTACACGTCAAAATTTTCAAAAATTATTAAAAGTGTTAAAATTCCTGATACATTTGACTGCTACGTTAACACCATACTTATAAGTATTAAAGAATACATGTTAACTATTTACCCACAGGTGTCTGAACTATGTGGATGATCTACACAGATACGTGGGTAGTCTTAGGTGTGGCCAGATGTATATTTTAAATTAATGAGTATGTATGCATGTCTGTGAGTGTGTGCATGAGCAGACACAGGCATGCACAGGCCACAGCATGCATGCAAAGGTCAGAAGGCAACTCTTAGGAGTTGGTTCTTTCCTGCTACTTCATGGGATTCAGGGATTGAACTCAGATAATTGGGCCTGTGTGCTGGCACTTCTGCTCGCTGTGCCATCTTGCTGGCCCATGGTTAGGTATTTTAGAAGTTCCTTTACATTAAACAGCAGAAAACAGGTTTTAAATAACATAAGTTGTTTAGGCTGTGTACATGTCTTCACAGAAGCAGATGAACAGACCCAGGCTTCACTGCCTCAGTAAACAGTGGGCAGATCACAGAGCTCAAGAAAACCACAACAAATCGAATTAGCACTTCCACTCATCTTGATGTGAGGACAGCTTTGCTTTTGGCAACTGCAGGTTCCTGGGGAACATCCAGAACACAGGTTTTGAAAGCACTTTATCGTCTGGTTTTGATGCAGTGTGTAAGGAGGAGACACATGGGAGTAAACATTTAACAAAGATTTTAGGGACCTTCAAAATCGGTTCTAAAAGCCTAGTTTTGGGAAATGACAGCTGCACACTAAAACAGATCAGTCACCCTCCTGGGTCAGAGTACCAGACAGTCAGAAGCATTCTGTTCCAGGACATAAACAGTCACATCATGACTTAGGGTCGAGATACCAACTGGGTCAACATCCACATGGCAGGGCAGGCAATGAAGAAAGAGTGGCCTTATGAGGCCCTTTCCCTCCTTTACTGTGATTTCAGAAAATGGGGAGAGGGTAAAAATGAACTGTGTTAATATGAAATCTCAGCTCTTTTACAACTTGACAGACTTAATCTTGTCCTATTAAGCTATTCTGCTTACATATTAAGTACTTATATTTTCATAAGTTTAGGCATAAGTTTAATCCAACATTCTTTTGCTTCTTCAGTACTAAGGATATGAACCTATAGCTTCATGTATGCTGGAGAAGTGCTCCACCATCAAGGCACAACTCCAACCCTCTTTTTACTTTTTATTTTGAGATAAGAGCTCACTAAGTTGCCAGGGATGGCTTGGAATTTCCTTTTTAGCCAGGTTTCTTTTGAACTTGATATATATACCAGCCTGGCCTGGAACTCAGAGAGATCTGCCTGCCTCTGCCACCCAAAGTGCTGGGATTATAGACAAGCACCACTGTACTTGGTTGGTCTTCAACTTTTGATCCTCCTGTCTCTGGTGGGATTACCAACCCTTAAATTCAACATTTTAATAGTCCCCTAATAATCTGTCAACTAACTAGAATAAGGCCCAGTATAATCACTACTCAAGAAAATGTTTGGTATTAAATATAAGCAGCAGCCTAGTAAATGAATTAACTTTTTCTTGACATATGATACATTTGCTTCATCTTATTATTTAAAAAAGTGCAGAGATATAGAAGAATGTCATAAACAGATAGTCACTTTGCTACCAAATCCAGCATTTCCACACAAACATTCTTTTTTCTCTGAAAACAGGCTTTCTCTGTGTAGCCCTGGCTATCCTGGAACTGGATCTGTAGAGCAGGCTAGTCTCAAACTCAGAGAACCACCTGCCTCTGCCTCTGCCTCCTAAATGTTGGTATTAAAGTCATGCACTACCTCTGCCCTATTTACACATTCTTAGCAAGGTTTAAAGATTATGACAACAGAAAATACCTGACTATTTTTTTTAAGCAGGATTGAAGTACCATCTTCAACTTCAAATTCTCCATAGTCTTTTAAACACCGCACCTGAAAGAACAAATTGAAATTCTGTTTTCTCTTTAAGATAAGGTCCACCTGTGTTTTTTTAGGTGAGTCTTAACCCTAAAGCTCAAGTGATTCTACTGTGATAGGTTCCTGACTAGCTAGGAGTATAGTTGTCCCCATCATATCTGTTTTACATTATTATAGGTAGTGATCAAAACGAAAACATCCATCACATGAATATTAAATAGATAGCATTTAAATCCACTCCAGTCTCATTTTTGTAGATCCCACCCATATTTCAGTAAGTGAATAGGACATAGCTGAGTTTGCCAGTTCCTACTTTTGGAAGAGATTCTTCCAGTTTCTTCAATACACAAACTCATTTCCGAGAATTCTTAGTAGCACAGCCTTTTTTTTTTTTTTTTTTTTTTTTAAATAAGACAGGGTTTCTTTGTGTAGCCTTAGCTGTCCTGGACTCCCTTTGTAGACCAGGCAGGCCTTGAAGTCACAGAGATCCTCCTGCCTCTGCCTTCCTGAGTTGGACTTACATTATCTTTTAATTGGTAAATAATTCTTAATCATCCCAGTTTGTTCTTCATCTTAACCTTGTTTGTTAGGCAACTAGGTTATCAAAACTGAGAGAAGGTCTTGGTTGGAAGGTAGAGAAGTAATGAAGTCTTTGACAGAAACTTCTGCAATGGTAAAGAACTATCTGGTCTGGCAGGATGACTCAGAGGGTAAAAGGACTTGCTGTGTAAATATGGTGAGCTGAGCTTCATCCCCTAATCTCACAGGATAAGAAGAGAAGCAACTCCCCCAAATTGTCATCATGTATGTCAAGCGACATGCAGTTGCACTCAAATATGCATTACATGCTGCTAATTGTTTAAGGAACAGTACTAAGTGCTATTGAGGAAACAAAGAGGCATTTCACCTCATGAGAACTGGGAAGGAGTTTACTCTCCTGAGAGTTAGGACTCTCCTGCACCATCACTAACTTCCAGGAAAACCAATTCCTGCAGCAAGTACCAGATATTTCTACCATGTCCTAAAATTAATCTGAAGTTTTACAATGACTCTCAGAGCTTTTAACTTAGTGTGAGAAATCCTATTAGAGGAAAATCTCCTCTGCTATAATTTACTCCTTTGAAAAGACTGGCTTTGGGGAAGAGGTGCTGTTGCTGAGCCTTTTGCATGCAAAGTGTAGGGTTTACCACTGAGCTGCACTCTAGATCAGGCATTTCTTATGGAAAAATCTTAGCCATACTTAGAAAACAAAGGCTAATTCAACATGTAGCCAAGTGTGTTCCTTTCAGTCACTTCAGAATTACTATATCCCCATTATGAGACAAGGTCTCCTAAAGCCCAGGTTGGTTTTAAATTCTTAATCATGCTGCCTCAGCCTCCCAGCTGCTGGGACTACAGGCATGAACTACCACACCTGGTTTAAATTACCTACTTCTACACAATAATATTCTTTTTTCCCCACATTGATATTCTTTCAAAAAACTAAACATGGAGCTGGGAGGATGTGGCACATGCCTTTAATCACAGCACTCAGGAAACTGAGCCAGGTGAATCTCTGTGACTTCAAGGCCAGCCTAATTCACAGAGGGAGTTCCAGCACAGCCAAAGCTACACAGAGAAACCCTGTCTCGAAAAACCAAACCAAACCAACCCAAACAAACAAACAAAAACAACACATAAAGTAAAGCATGGTGGTTCATGCCTACAGTCCCAACACTTGGGAGTGAAAGCAAGAGGATCACAAACTAAGGGTTATCCTTGGCTATAGGGCATGTTCCAGGCAAACCTGAACTGCATGAGACCCTTTCTCAAAAAACAACAAAAACAAAAAACAAAAAGCAACAAACTTCTACTACTATCTGATATCATTACTCATTTAATATCCAAAAGTTCCCACTTGTCTCATAAATATTTTAATTTTTCCCATTTCATTTCATATGTATAGGTGTTTTATCTGCATGTGTATCTATAGACTACATGTACACAGTGTCCAAGTGGGCAGAAGAGGACACTGGTTTCCTAGGACTGGTGCTATAGATGGCTGCGAGCTACCACGTAGATGCTGGGATTGAACCTGAATCCTCTGCAAGAGCAGCCAATGCTCTTAATCAGAGTTAGATATTTTTCTAAGTTTTTATGTTGAAACTAAAATCTGACAGAGCTACACATTGTGTTTTATGTCTTATGTTTCAATGTATAATTTCTCTCCCTCTTTAGAAACTTCTTCTTTTCTTGGCCTTCTATTTATGGTACCAAAGACAAAGTGGTACTATTAATATGGGTGTACTGATGAAATTTTAGGTATCCATCCTAAAGACAGTATCTCCTCTTGCTCTTTTGTCTTAAGTTTTCTTTCTTCTTTCTTTTTAAAAAGAAGAGTAAATTCTCATCTTTCATAGAAGGTAGCACAATGTGTACGTTAAAGTAATTATACATACTTCAATGTATAGGCTTTTGGGGGGTTTCACATCCTGTGTGATGTCTAAGCCTTCATCTCCTCCCAGTGACCTCATGTAAGTAGCCAGAGACTTTTTATAATGGTTGAACCACTCCATCTGTGAACATAAAAACAGTCATTTGACAAAGGTTTAAGAAAATAGGCACAAAGCACCTATTACCGTTTCAAAAACATATCGTAGGGCTGAATCTTCCCACATTAGGTAACTTAATTATGAAAATCATCCACAGACAAGGTCACTGGCCCAGTGACCTTTTGCCAGGTATTTTAGGTTGTATCAAGTTGACAAAGCTATTACAGCTAACAAAGTGAAGACAGCTCTGGCAGACATCAGACACTTAGCCAGTATGGTCTGAGCAACAGCATATAAAAACCACAGGGAAGACAAGGTTCAAGCTCAGCTGACCCTGCCCTTTGTGCATGGAACTAGCAGGCTCAATTTCTGAGGACTCTCAAGAGTGACCAGACAGGTACTCTAGTACCTCATCTATGTTTTCTTTTAAACCCTAGGAAATCCCCTCACCCTTTTATTCTTTTTGAATGCCCTCCCACTTTTATTTAGTGTTACTTTTACCTTCCTCCCCGCCCCTCAACATGGTTTCTCTGTGTAGCTATGGCTAGCCTGGAACTAGTGACCAGGATGGCCTCAAACTCACTGAGATCCACCTGCCTCTGCCAGTACTGGGATTAAAGGCATGCACCAAAACCCCACCTGTTTGTGTTTTGAGGCAGAGTTTCACCCAGTAATCCTGGCTTTCCTGGAACCTGCTATATACACCAACCCGGCCTTGAACTCACAAAGATCTGCCTGCCTCTCTGCATCCTGAGTGCTGGGATTAAATGTGTTCTATACCATGCCTGGATATTTTTACTTTATTTTTGAGGGAAAAAAAAAATCATCTGGCCTGGTTGTGGTACACACATTTAACCCCAGCACTTGTGTGGCAGAGGCAGGCAGATCTCTGTGAGATCAAGGCCAATCTAGTCTACAAAATGAGTTCCAGGACAGCCAGGGCTACACAGAGAAACCTTGTCTCAAAACAAAACAAACAACAAAAAAAAAAATATTGAATTTTTTTCTTTTCATCATTTCCTCCTATGTAATCTCTTTGCTCCCTAAAACCATAGTCTTTTTTCTTTTTGTTTTATATTTCTCTCTGTATTACACATGTATATAACAAAACATATATAAACGTGTTTTATATATATATATATGAATATGCCTATGTTAGAGTTACTTGAATGTATGTGATTTCAGGGCTAACGAGTGGATAACCAGTTAGGGGCCTCATCCCCGGGAAAGACAATTCCTTCCTGTAGTACTTTGTCTATGGGTGGAGGCCCATGAGATCCCTCCCATCTTTGATGGCAGTCTACTTGTGCTGTACTTGTTCAGGTCTTATTTAGGCAACCATATTGCTGAAGTATCATGGGTGAAGCTTCCCCATCTCACAGCAGATTCTTCTGGCTCTTACAATCTGTGCCCTCTTGCACAGTCTTCCCTCAGCCTTAAAGGTTTGTGTGTGTGTGTGTGTGTGTTTCGCTGATTTTGGTTAATAGATGATTTTCACTGTGAGGCAATATATGTTTCTCTTTTTTTGTTTTTTCTTTTTTGCCCGATGTTTTCCCTTAAATAACTGCCTATAAATATTTAGAACATTTTGACTTTACCTTACTGGCTTTAAATACTTGTATTTTTATTCTTTACTTGCCCAATTTGTTTTGGAAGTTTTTCATGATTGAGATATCTTCTTTTTCTTTCTTTCTTTCTTTTCTTTTCTTTTCTTTTCTTTTTTTTTTTGCCAGATTTCTCTTTGTAACACTAGCTGTCCTGGATTCACTTTGTAGACCAGGCTGGCCTTGAACTCTCAAGAGATTTGCCTGCCTCTGCTTCTTCAGTGCTAGAATTAAAGGTGTCACCACCTCTCGGCTTGTTTTTTCTTTTATTCTCTAATTTCTTGCTCTTTTCCTTGAGTAACAGTTTTCTCACTTATCTTCTTTCCCCTTTCTTGTATTTAATCTTGTTTTTCTATTTCTCTCCTTTCTCTGCTTCCTTTTATGTTACTCATTTAATTAACTTTGTCTTATATTCTACAGTAGCTTTGCCAATTTCACTTCTGTGTTCACTGTTGATCCATTTCTGTGCTGTTACTTGATTTTAACTGTATTTCTATATCTTGTATGGCTTCTTAATTACTTCTGTTACAGAAACTTGCTTTCTCTCTATGGTGGGTACTGGAGATTAAGCCTTCAAGAAGATCCTCAAATAAAACAGGGAGATCCAGACCAACAGATATATACGTTACCAGACAATGATCCAAATATATGAGAAAGTAGACAAACTGACTCCTCCAAAAAGCTTTATGTAATTCACCTACTAAGCTCAAAGTCAGTGAAATAGCTAAACACTAGAATGATGATTTCAGTAATTTACTAGTAAAAACTGATAAATGTCTTCTACAATGATACAAACAAATTAATTAATTCAATCCAAAACTTAAAGAGAAAAAGTCAGCAATACATGGGGAAGGTGACAAAATGGATGAATTAGGGATAAAAGTCAGCAACCTAGAACAAAATGTCAATAAAGAAACTAATATTGTAGGGGGAAATGGTAATAAAACAAACAAACAAAACCTTACTGAATTAATTTTTTTTAAAAAAAGACCCCCATGGAGCAGAAGAAAGAGGAATACTACAAGCATCAGCATGGAGATAAGCATCACCACACAGTGACAGAGAACTCTCTGGCACCCAATTAAGAGAGCAAATCTAAGAATCCACAGGATAGAACTTAAGATAAAATTTAAAGGCTTGAGAGATTCTATTCAATGATACTATAGTGAAAATTTCCCAAATGTAGAAAAAGATATCCAGACACAAGATGCACTAGAACCCTAATGACACATGAGAGTCATTGGGAAAGAGTCTCTCTGTAACATATTATAGTTAAAATGTCAAAAATACAAGGCAAAATAGAATTACAAGATGGTATAACAATCAGAAACATATGCGGAGGTGCCAAATACTGGTGGCTATGTATAAAATGTCAGATAGGGCCTGAAACAATAGTAGTAGGTGGTTTCAGCACCCTACTGTCATCCAAACAGATAATTAACAAAGAAATCTCAGGTCTGCTACTGAGGTCTACTAAATTATACTGTAGGGGATGGTTCATTTTGTTGCTGTTGCAGAGAACCTGAGTTCAGTTTCCAGCATCAACACGGTAGCCCACAATCACCTGTAATTCCAGTTCTAGGGGATCTGGCCCCCTCTGTTGACCTCTAACGGCACCAGGAATGCACACATGTCCATATATACATTCAGGAAAACCATTTATATACATAAAATAAATCTTAAAAAAACAAATTACACTGTAGATCAAATGAGCATATCAGATATGCATAGAATATCTATCTAATAGGTAATGAATAAACATTTTTCTCAGCAGCCCTTAAAGCTTCTGGAAGACATCACATTCTGGGCCCAAATCAATTATTTAAAAATACCAGAGAGTGCTCGCTTCGGCAGCACATATACTAAAATTGGAATGATACAGAGAAGATTAGCATGGCCCCTGTGCAAGGATGACACGCAAATTCATGAAGTGTTCCATATTTTTTGTGATCTGATAGACTAAGATCAGAAGGAAGGAGAAGAGGACCTCCCCTATCAGTGAACTTGGGGAGGGGCATGCGTGAAGAAGGTGGAGGGAGGGTGGGATCGGCAAGGGAGGAGGGAGGGGCTTATGGGGGGATACAATGTGAAATAAAAGTGAATAAAGTGTTATTAATAAAAAAATACAAGAGAATCTAAATAGCTTTTTGTATCTTATCAAATTAATGCAATAAAAATAGAAATCAACAAAACTACTGAAACCACACAAATACTTGGAGATTCAATAATACACTTTTGAAGAAATTGGGGAGGAAACAGAAAATTTTCTAGAATCAAATGATGTGAGAATACAACTTACCCAAACCCTTGATACACAGCTAAAGCAGTTCTAAAAGGAAAGATGGTAGCTATAAGCACTTACATTGAAAACTTAGATTTCAAATAAATGGCCTAGCAATGCACCTCAATGTCCTAGGAAAACAACAGCCCTGTAATGGAAGTTTTGGTTGTGTTTTATGGGTATGTTTTGTTGTAGTCCCAAGTGTGGGATTCAGGAATGCTTTGGCCATTGCTGATACCAGCCTAGTGAGAGGCATATGATCTTTTTCAGCAATAAATAGCCTTGTGAGAGGGTATGTGATCCTTGTCAGCAGGAAACTGAACAACCCTTCCCTTCCAGTCACTCCTACAGAGAATGTTATGGAGAACACTTCAAGGAGGCTGCTGCTGATTCATTCTGCGGTTGCTGCTTTTGCTATTGCTAGATTGATGGTTTGCTGGACTGTTGGAATCCTGATGATGAAGAGTAGAATCATCCTAAGGAACTATGTCTAAAGAGGTCTACTTACCCTGTCCCTACTAACCTTCTTTCTCTCCTACCTAGCGTCAGGTATTTGAGGGGTAGTAGAGGCATTTAGGAACCCAACAACCCTAACCAGCAGGAAGTAATTAAGAGAACTATGCCCCCTCTCTCCACTAATCTTTCTTTCCTACCTGGTGTTATGGTGTTGAAAGGAATTGGGGTGGAGAAAGGGACATAAGGAACCTCAAATAAAGTAGGTTTAAAAAAATCAAAAGTCTACATAGTCCAAGTGCAGTAAGAGGCAAGAAATAATAAAGATCGTTACAGAATTAATTAAGTTGAAACCAAAAAATAATATAGACTCAATGCCCCCTCCAAGTGGATAAATTCCTAGGCATTTATGACCTACCGAAAAGAAATCAAGAAGAAACAAATCCATTATAATCAGAGAAACTGAAGCAACAATAAAAAGCCTTCCAACAAAGGAAAGCCCAGAACTAGATGAGCTCACTATAAAATTCTACCAAACCTTTCAAGAAAAGCTAACACAAATACTTTTAAATTGTTCTATAACAGAAGGAAAGAAACAATGCCAAACTCATTGTACAAAGCCAACATTACCATGACACCAAAACCCTATAATGATATAACAAAAAAGAAAAATATAGACAAATTTCCCTGATGGGTATAGACATGAAAATGCTCAATGAATTCTTACTGTCAGAATACAAGAACATGTTAAACTAGATCATGACCATGTTGACTTCACCCCAATGACAAAAGGCTGGTTCAACACGCACAAATCAATCTGTATTTACACTGTGTAAATAGAGATAAGGAATATCATTGATACAGAAGTATCAAGAGTATTTTGTTAATGAGGAACTCACAGTGGACCCTGGTTAGTTTATGCTAACTTACCAACACAAAGTAGGGGCTACAAACCATACAATCAGTGGACCGGCTTTGGACCTCACTAACAGTGTGACCTCCTGGGAGAGGAGGAGAAAAGACTGAGCTCAGTGACAGGGTTAGTAATTGCATGGCCATGTCCCTAGAATATAAAACCCCAATCACTTAGACACCAATGCTGTGTAAGCACACCTGGATGGCAATGTTATATGTACCATTATGGAATGTGTCATGATGGTGTCAAGCTCTGATTTACAAAAATAAGTAAGATGTCAGAAGCTTAAGAGTGTCCAACCCTTTCAGCCTTTGTCTTGTGAGCCTCATCTGGCTGGTTCCAATCTGTATCCACTTTGCTTCATATCCATCTGGTTTCAAGACTTTAAAGTTTGAAATAGAATGATTTTGAGTTTTATGACTTATTCTGGGGAAGTACTGAACATATATGAATCATGGGACATGAAAACTTGTAAATGTTACCTGAAGTAAGGGGAGATCTTATGAAAGATGAAGTATGGTCTAACTTCAGGCAGTTAGTGTCTGAAGTCCTTGCAAGCCTTTATCATTTTTAAAACTTATGTACATTGGTGTTCTGCTTGCATGTGTATCTGTGTGAGGCTGTCAGATCTCTAGAACTGGAATTACATAGACAGTTCTGAGCTGCCATGTGGGTCCTGGGAATTAAATCAGGTCCTTTAGAAGAACAAGCAGTACTCTTAACCACAGAGCCATCCCTCTGGCCCCTAAACCTGTATCTTTTTGTTGTTGTTTGAGACAGGCCTTGGCTGTGTAGCCTTGGCTGTCCTGGAATCACTTTGTAGAGCATGCTGGTCTCAAACGCACAGAGATCTGCCTGCTTCTGCTTTCCAGAGTACATGGCGTGCGCCACCATGCCTGGCTAACCTGTATCATTTTTAGAGGAGAAAATTTAGGTATAGGAAGAGGTGGAGCTACTTGCTTGAGATAGACAGTTCTTGAATAGTCAGATTGTATGTTTATCTGGCTCCAATTCAATATCTGGAGTATCCTGTGCCTCAGTTACTGGATTAATCAAGACTTATTACCAATAAGAAATAGCATTGTTATACATTTGAATAGTGCTAACTTACTTCTTCAGCAGACATGTGGAATCGTAAAGCATTTGGCAAGACACTGCCATACTCCCACCTCAAAGCTCTAATCCGAAGCAACCGGTCATACCTAGGATATGAAGGGATTAGATGATATAAGAATAAAAGGGGCCAAAAGTCATACTAATGAGAAGACTCAAGGCTCACAAAAAAAAACCTAAATGGAATTTGGCTACCGAAAGAAGGACATCAATAGAAAACATCCTTGGGACAATGGAAAAAATGTGCATAAGAACTGTGTAGACTGCTGGGTGTAGTGGTGTGTGGGAAACCCTACTGCTAAGGTCACAGTCCATCATGAATGGAAAGCCCTGAGCTAGGCATAAAATGGAGGATTCCCTTTGTGAGCACGGCTTCATTTTCTCTGCCTGAGGAGCCTATATCCCTACACCATCTACTGGAGGAATGTCATGTAGTCTTTAGGAAAATTATAGGTTCAACCTCCTTTCTCCTGATGGTAAGAACCTGCTCAACAAGTACCTGGGATTCCTACAATAGCTCTTCATGCGAATGAGGCATATGCCCACCCTGGGTAATCTGTACCCACCCTGGGATCCCTACTGACTCTCCAAAGTTCTATATAACCCTTGTTCACCTCGAATAAAGTTAAACTGCCTTACTGAAGCTGGTCCCAGAAGTTGAAGCCATTGTATTCCTGGCTTTTGGAACCCTGCCCACTGACTCGGCTCCCCTCGCCCTCATGGACTGGTGGCCAACAGTCCCCAAGAAAAGGGGAGACCCACAGTGGCACTTGCCTTTAATCCCAAAACTTTGCAGGCAGAGGCAGGAGAATCTCTGTGAATTCAAGGGCCAGCCAGGACTAGATAATGAGACCCTGTTTCAACCTGACAGATGCCATCAAGCATTGTTTATTTCTCCAAATGTGACAAAATGCAGTGGTTCCAAAGACAATGAGGGCCTTGCTGCTTAGATAAGAACAATATTAAGAATTCAGTAATGAGCTGCCATGATACTCCAAATTAGTGCAGCATAAAAACAAAATACAATGAAGTAAATATGGCCCAACACTAAGAGCTAAGAACCAAGTTCCACAGGGCAAGCTATATTATTCTCATTTTTTATGACTATAGTACTATCTTATAATTTAAAAACTTCTTAAAAAAGAAAGCCAGGTGTGATTTCAGTTGGGAGGCAAAAGCAGAAAGATCTCTGTGAGTTCAAGGTCAGCCTATCTACATAATCAAGTTCAAGCCTGGTCATGAGGACATGGGTACAACTCTGTCTCAAAAACAAAACAAAAACATAAAAAGAAACAACAGAAGATTTGTTTCTTTTCTATTCACTGAGAAACCTAATTACATCAAAAACCCTCCCAGGTTACCTGACACCCAAGCAAAACCCAAGACACTTACAAGTATGCTATAGTGCAGCGTCGATTTCTTAACAAAGAACAATGACGAAATTTGATGGTTGGTATCAGATCACCTCGTCCAGCTGACTTGGCTTCATTCCTGATAAGGACAAGTAAGGAGCAAGAAACAGATATGCATATTCCAGTGTAGGTAAAATTTCAAAACCAGAATGACTGACTGACATGCTTGTTTTGTCCCTTTCCAGTTAGTAGCAGTCAACCAGAGCAGAGTAGCTACCTCCATGTCAGTGCTTTCACTGGTGTATTAAAAGATGAAAAGAACTGGGTATGGTGCATACCTTTAATCCTGGCACTTAGAAGGCAGAGTCAGAAAGGTCTCTGAGTTCAAGGCCATCCTAGTCTACATGATGTAGTGAGACCCTGTATTTGTCACTGAATATCTAAGTTGTTTTGTTTTTGTGGTGCTGGAGATTAAACCCAGGGCCCCACATATGCTGGGCAAGTGCTCTAGCACCAAGCTACTCCCGTTACCACATAAAGCTATTCTACATACTTCTGCCACTCTATGAAGGACAGAATTCTCCACATTCCTTCCAACTGCTTACACTGTAAGGATACAATTCCTGGATTATAAGGAACTAATACAATACATGGTGGCACCATGTCTATAATCCCAGAATTTGGGAAACAAGACAGGATAGAAAGCTTTAGGTAAAATTGAATAAAAAATGAGATCTTTTTTCAAAAGATTAGATAAATTTAATAGCAGAATAATTTAGAATGCATATGTAAAACTTTTTACATTTACACATGATTAGTTTAAGGACTCACTTCTATTCATATTTATTTTAAAAATTTTATTGCATTTATTTCTATGTACACATGGGTCATGATGTGGAGAAGAGATCAGAGGACAACCTTAAGGAGTTAATTTTCTCATGGGTTCTGGGGCTTGAACTCAAATCAGCAAGCTTAGCAGCAAGTACTTCCGTCCACTGAGTCATCTCACTTGGCCTATTTTATTTATTTAAAAAAATCCTCTTTTTTGAGCTGGACTGGCACATGGCATTAATCCCAGAATTTAGGAGGCAGAGACAGGCCTACAGAGAGAGTTCTAGGACAGCCAGGGCTACAAAGAGAAACCCTATCTCAAAAAACCCATAATAATAATAATTTTAAAATAATGTAATAATATTTTTATTTTACTTTATATGCATGGCATTTGTACCACATGCATGGAGTTCCCACCGAGGCCAGAAGAGGGTGTCAGATCCCCAGGACCATTGTGAGCAGCCAGGTGGGTTCTGGGAATTAAACCCAGGTATTATCAAGAGCAGCTCGTACTCTTAACCAGTGCCATCTCTCTAGTCCCTCACAAATAATTGTAACCAGAAACTAGTAACAATGGTCACCTCTCCAGAGAAAATTTAAGAGAGTAAGGGACAAATTTCTGGATCATTAATTTACACAGAGTACAGAAAATTCAGTCCTTTACTGAACCAAGACCTAATAGGCCAACTCCAAAATATATTTTTATTCTGTTTATGTTAGTCCAAGTCACTTTTTCAGTGACCTGAATGACCCACTGTGTCCCCTCCTCTCTGCTTGTTAAATAGAGCAGCCAGGATGACTTCAAAACAGACTGCCCACCCCCCACACAAATACCCTCTTTTCCTTGCTAAGCAAAATGGTCTTTAAGTGTACTTTCCTGAGTACTTGCCTCTTTCTGATCCTTGGCATATGTTGTGACCACTGTCTTAATGTTCTCTGCTCACCCTGACTGTTTTAGTGAGTAAAACCCACTTTTTCTTGAAGCCTAAGCTAAGATCTCTTTTCCTTAGAGAAAACTCTCAATACCTCAATTTCTATTAGACTTTATATTGTCTTCTAGCATTATTTTCTCCTGTGGCCTTCCTTTAGAAGACATCTCCGCATTGTGACATGTTTGCGCTTACTGTCTGTCTCCTAAACAGTAAAGGGTCATAAACAGAAATCTAATCTAATGTTATTTACTCTGGAAATGCCAGAGACATTATTAGTGCAACTTTATTTGGTGTATGTCTGTTGAATGGATTAATGAACAACTTTGTAAAATTGAGTTCAAGACTTAATACCTGACTCACTTTTACCCCAGCCCTGCTGAGGGTCATTTCCTCATTCTGTCATCTACACGTGTTGTGCTCCTATCAATTTGTATGCCCACAGATCTTATCGTTCAGTATTAATTTCTACATCCACGTAACTCACAAACCTCTCTAGCTAAGACTCAGACTACACTGGGCATTAAAGCCAGCACTTGGGAGGCAGAGGCAAGCAGATCTCGGAGTTTGAGGACACCTTGGTCTACAGAGCAAATTTCAGGACAGTCAGAACTATACAGAGAAACCCTATCTCAACGGGGTGTGTGTGTGTATGTGTGTGTGTGTGTGTGTGTGTGTGTGTGTGTGTGTGTGTGAACAGACAACACTAAGACACTGACTACCTCAGCTTTGATCCAGCTCTCGACATCCTTTTTACTCTGACCATGTGATGGCGGCCTCTGAAGTGTGTTCACACAGTCCAGATTCTCCACTATATGAATTGCTACGCCTAGCTTTAAATATTCAATTTATAGCCCTTCCTTGACCTGCAAACTGAGACACCAGTTCTCAATAAACTCTACTCATGCTGCCAGAATCATTGCTATTCCAGCTCAGTGAACCCCTCTCCTTCAAACACACTAAGGCATCTGTTAACGAAAAAAGAAAAAAAAGGAAAGGAGTGGACACCAAGTGTTAACTGCACTGTGGTCTCCATCTGCCCCTCTCATCGTTTTACGTCTATCTTCATTCTTCATACATCATCATACACCATGAAGATGTATTAACATGGGAAGCACTGCCCAACCACAGGACAGCAGAAACCCTTCAAGTGATAGTCCTGTGCTCACTTGTACAACCAAGGTTACCCAGATTTACAGAGTAAAAAAAATGACACCCCCAAGGAGATACAAGATTCTGATTTTAACATCTCATTTCGTATTTTTAAAGCATCAGTATTATCACAACTTACACATCAGACTGGTTTTGTTCATACAAAGCTTTCATTTCCTCCAGAACTTGTCTGAGTCCGTCCTCCTGAAATATACACACTGATTTTGACAAACATTCATTGATTCCCCTGTTAATATTTTTTTAATTTTAATTTTATTTTTATTTTATGTACATTGGTGTTTTGACTGCTTGTATATCTGTGTTAGGGCGTTAGATGCCCTGGAACAGGAGTTACAGACAGTTGTGAGCTGCCATGTAGGTGCTGGGAATTGAACCTGGGTCCCTTGGAAGAACAGCCATTGTTCTTAACCGCTGATCTATCTCTCTAGCCTGATTCCCTATTAATTTCAATCTATACCTATACCATATTTATTTTTCATTTACATACCTTACCAAAAAAACCAGGCTTCACAATATTTCCATGGCTACAGATGTTGGTAAGGAACATAAAGGGGGCTAGCCCTGTGGACAGAGCAGTTCCTGAACTCAGGATGCCAAGCAGGAGGATAAAGAGTTCAAGGTCTTTATGCACTGCACAGATAGCCTATCTTAAATAACAAAGGACCATGGGTGCAACTCTGTGGTAGAGCATTCTCCTAGCTCACTTAAGACCCTCAGCTCTATGCCTGGCATGAGAAAAAGTTAAAACACAACTACCATATGACCCAGCAATTCTACTACTAGGTTTATTATATCCAATCCCATGTAAACTTTTTTCTTTCTTTCTCCCTTTTTTTAAATTTTTATTTATTTTTTTAATTTTATGTGCATTAGTGTGAAGGTGTCAGATTCCTTGGAATTGGTGTTACAGACAGTTGTGAGCTGCCATGTGGGTGCTGGGAATTGAACCTGGGTCCTTTGAAAGAGCAGGTGGTGCTCTTAACCACTGAGCCACCTCTCCAACCCCTGTTATTTTCTTCCTTTCTTTCTATTATGGAGCTAAATCTCCAACCCACACACAAAAACTTAAGACACAATTTTGTTGTGTTTAATTCCTCATGTTTAAGTTGCCATAACTGGTTTTCTTGAGACAGGGTCTTGCTAGTACTATGTGACCCAGGCTGACCTCAAACTCACATTAAACCTCCTACCTCAGCATCCCAAGTCCTGGAATGTTGTGGATATAAACATGTTTTTGTTTTGGTCCCAGGCGTGGGATGTGGGATTGATTCAAATGGTCCACAGCAGCAGACTATTTGCCTTAATGCGGGCTCTTGGAGCAGCTCTTTGCCAGCTGCAGACAGTTTAAATGTAAGGATTTTGGAGAGAGAATAAATGCCAGAGCCCAGAGAGTGTGGAGTCGGAGAAAGAACAAGGCTGCTGCTTCCCCCTTGCTGCTCCCGGTTGCTGTTGTGAGACAAGAAGTTGGGGATCTCCTGAAATGAGGATTGGAGTGGCTCCAAGGAACCCAACCACCCTACCCAGCAGGAAGCAACTAAGAGAACTGAACCTGCTCTCCACTAACCCTTTTTCTCTCCTACCTGGTGTTGGGGTATTGTAAGGGATTGGGGTGGAGTAGGGAGAAAAAGATAAAAGAAACATAAATAAAAGGGTTTTTTTTTGAAAAGTACATTGGATATAGGCATACACTGGCTTTACACAAATGTTCTTGGTAGCATTATTCAAAATAATCAAATGCAAAAATAATACAGAGGACCAGCAACAGAGAGATAAGTCAAATGTGTTACATCACCCAGTAGAGTATCACTTAGCTATAAGGAATGAGTACTGACACATGCTACAACATAGCTAGACCCTGAAAACTCCATGTTAAACCAGACACCAGATACACAAGGACTATAGTTGTAGTGTACTTATCAAGAATACCTGGCAAGGCAAATTCATGCACAGAAAAGTAATTTAGTCAGGCACTGTAGCAGAGGCCTAGAAGCAGTTCCGGAATTGGAAGGAGTATCTCAAGTCGAGGCCAGCCTGGACCACGTAGTAAAACCTGTCTTAAAACAAAACAACAAAAAAAAAAACAGAATTAGGGACTGGAGAGATGGCTCCGTGGTTAAGAGCACTGAGGACCTAAGTTCAATTCCCAGCATCCACATGGCAGCTACCAACAGTCTGTAACCCCAATTCCAAGGGATCTGACACCTTCACACTAATGCACATAAAATTAAACAAATTATTTAAAACAAACAAACAAAAAACCAAAATGAGAGCAGGTGAGATGGCTCAGCATATAAGGGCACTTGCCTTCAAGAATGATGACCTCCTGTAACTCACATGGTAGAAACAACTTTCTCAAGTTGTCCCTTGACCTCCACACCTGTGCTGTTGTGCACATACCTTCACCCACATAAGTAAATAGAGAAAAAGTGGTTATCAGGAGCTGTGAGAAAGGGAGAACTGGGCACTACTGATTAATGACAAAAGTTTTTGCTGGAGTAATGAAATGGCTTTGGAAACAGAAGATTTGACAATAGCATGAATGTAATTATAGTGACATTCAAACATACACTAAGTTAAAATGGGCAACTTTATAGTAGTATGTGGATTTTTAAAAGGTAAAACAGTAGCCATTTTAAAAAGTGCAATAGGGGCTAAAGAGATTGTACCTTGCCTTTTACTACATTGTGGGTTCCTTTTCTCACCCTTTACTGCCTCAGTTTCACCCCCTATCACTAGATAGGAGAGAAAGAAAGAGGGGAGAAAGAAGGAGAGAGATCCCTGAATCTAATTTCTTGTTTCTTCTTTGAGCATAACTATTAACAAACTGTAACCAACCTTCCTGAGCTAACAACCACCTCTGCCCCTCAGAGGCCCTAACATTTATATACCCTCTGAAAAGTTACCAGAATTCCAGTCGTCACACAGTCACTGAAAATAATCTGCAGCTGGCAAAACCATGCCTTGCTAGAGCATGATGCAAATCATAGTCAGCTGCTGTGGACAGTCCAAAGCTGCTCCATATCTCCATATTCTTATAATATTTCTGTGTTTTTAAAGAAATCAAAATTCCAGAATTCTCACTACAAGAGATGGCTTAGACGTTACGAGCACTGATTGCTCTTGCACAGGCAAGAACCCAGGTTCGATTCCCAGCACCCACATGGTGATTCCTAACCATCTGTAACTCCAGTTAGGGGAATCCACTGCTTTCTTCTGACCTCCATGGGCACCAGGCATACACACTGTCGCATACATTGATGCATGCAAAACATTCATACACACAAATTTTAAAAACACACCACTATAAGAATAGTCTTAAATACATCATACTGGGCAAGAGCAAGTGTCAACTCAGCTGTAGAACACACCTGTAATCCCAGCACTCGGAGAGGCAGGTGAATCTATGTGAGTTCGAGGCCAGCCTAGTCTACAAAGCAAGTGCAGGAAAGAGAAGGTGATACAGAGTAACCCTGTCTTGAAAAACAAAAAACAAAACAAGAAGTGTCAGCCCTTAGCAGACTGAACCCAGAAACTTAAAAAGCCAATATTCCACAAGCAAGGAAATCTGTGGTTTCCAAAGGCTGCTGCTGAGACACAGCTTCACAGCAACTCCCAGAATTACTTGGGTTGTATCAAGATGCTAAAGAGACTAGCTATAAAGATATAAGTGGAGCAGGAGAGCTGGCTCAGCCGCTAAAAGCAATTGCTGTTCTTGCAGAGGAACTGGGTTCCCAACACTCATGTCCTGCAGCTCACCACTGCCTGTAACCCCATTTCCAGAGGACCCCACATCCTCTTCCGGCATCCATGGACTACCTGCATGCAGGTGACGCAAAACGCTTTAAAAAAACAAAACAGGCAAACAAACAAACAAAAACAAAAACCCAAAAAACAGGGTTTCTTTGTGTAGTGCTTGGTGTCCTGAAACTCTTTGTAAACCAAGCTGGCCTCAAACTGAGATCCGGCTGCTTCTGCCTCCAGAGTGCTGGGATCGAAGGTGTGCGGACCACCAAGCCCGGCCTTTTTTATTTTTATTTTTTTTTATTTTTATCCATGTCAGCCTGGACTACATGAGGGCTTGTCTCAAAAAACAGAAACAAGAAGCACTCAGATGGGCAAAATTCACCAAATCAATGGGTAACATAATTGTGAGTCTTTTCTTTTTCTTTCTACAATGTTTGGCCCAGTTTCAAGCTTTTTGTTTCCTATCTCGGAATCTAGTAGGGCGGTAATGGGAGCCCAGCGACTGAGGGGTGAGAAGAATCCCCTGCAAGCCTCCGCTAACTTGCCTGGGGCGGGTCCACACAGGCCCTGCCCCAAGGCCAGAGGCCCCGCCCCAAGGCCTGAGGCCCCGCCCCAAGGCCAGAGGCCTGGCCCTCCACACGCCCCTCCTTGGCCACAGCATCTCACGTTGAAGGCCGGCAGCTGCCCTTCCGGCGCACGGTGTAACTCGCGGACAAGCTCCATAGCTTTTTCGCAGAACATGACGGACGCGCCTCGGTCCCGTGATCCCGTCAACTGCCAAGTCACGCCAAACGGTCGCTGGGCTTTCGGCCCCGCACCTCTAGCGTTCAGAGTCCCCCAGCTCCAGCAACCAGCTCCTCGCTTAGGCGCCAAATAGGAGCCTTCAACCAATGGAAGTGCGTTGGCCGTGGGAGTGGGGGGGGGAACCTAAGGCGGCCGAGAAGGGACAAATGACTGCAAGTGCAGCCTCCCTGAGAGGCAGGAAGATTAAGAGGATGGTTTGTTTTATGAAGAGGCAGGGGTTAAGAGGATGGTTTCTTCCCTGGCGAAGCATAGGAAGTTGCTTGCGTCTGAGACACTAGGATGAAACAAAGGGCTTTTTCGATTGTGCAGCAAAGTAAAGTGCACACTCTTCCCTTCCTTTTTATTCTTTTATTTGAATTATCTTTAGGTTTTAAGGCTCACCTTTAGGTTAAAAGGAATCCTTGAGAAACTACTTATGGTGCAGTGTTTTTAGTTTTGCAGTAACGAGAAACTGTCTTTTATTGAGTACTTTCTGAATGGTAGGGAGTATGATGTATGTTTCAGTTAATTCTTAGAATTATCCTTTAGGGGTTATTTGTATGAAGAACTGATAAGGAAACAGCAGTGAACTTACTGCAGCTCATGAAGAGTTTAGAACCTGATTTCTATGATTTGTTCTTTCAGCTCTGGCACTCTTTGATCTTAAAGCAGTTATTTAAAGGTATTTGCAAACTGGAAAATGTCACAGATAACAGCAGTTTAGAATTGGGTATGATACAGCAGTCTCAGCACTTCTGCGGCCAAGGAAGATAGATTACTTCAGTCCAGGAATTCTAAAGGAGCCCGTCGAAAACAAACGAACAACAACAACAACAATAAAAAAGTCAATTAAAAAAAAAAAAAGCCAAAACTGTCTTGATTTGCCTTCTTCTGCTGTCATAGAACATCATGACCAAAAGTGAATTGGAAAGGAAAGGGTTAACTTCAGCTTACAGGTTTGGGCCACCAGGAAGGGAATTCAGAGCAGGAACCCTTGCAGAGGCCATGGAAGGCTGCTTACTGGCTTGCCATGGCTTAATCACCCTGCTTTTACCCAGGACCACCAGCCTTGGGGTGATACTCCCCTCAGTGGTCTGGGCCATCTCAAGTCATTAAGAAAATGCCCCACAGATTAGCCAATCCAGTCTGATGGAGGCAATTCCTCAGGACTCCCTCTTCCCAGTTATGACCATGTTTGTGTCAAATTGACAAAACCAGCGTGCATATTCACCTTTGTGATTATGGGAAATTCCCTAAGCTTACATAAGGCAAGATAAAAATCATGCCATAAAACCCACTTGTTTCATTTAGTCTTTTATTTTTATTTTTTTGATACAGGGTCTTACTATGTAGACCAGGCTGACCTTAAAGTTACAGAAAGCAACCTGCCTCTGTCTCCTAGATAAAAAGTTGTGTGCCACCTTGCCTCACTATTTAGCTAATTTTTGAAGAAGCAATATTTTCTATAAATCAATAATGGATTTTTGTGTTGTTCTTTTGCAAATGTAGATAACAAGACTGTTAGAGTAACTGGACAGTGTTGAGAGAGGTGATTCAGAGACAGATGCTAAGACAAACTGTTCTTCAGGTGAGAGCTTTTTTTTTTTTTTTTCCTTTGTTACTTATTAATGCCACATACAGTATAGTGGGTTCTGAAGAGAGACACTTTAGTTCCACCAAATTTTGCACAAGTCCCTCTAAAAAGGTTCAGAGGGAGGTGGTTCAAAGCCAGGAGGCAGGAGGCATGGAAAGCAGCCCATACTACATGCTAGCTTCTTGAAGTTAGTTTGCCTCTGTTTCTGGGTCAGCAGGAGAAGGAAGCAAGATTCTGCCTTTTGTAACTTCAGAGTCACAAGCGCTGGCCTGTCATATTCCTGTAGCTGATCCTGGAGGGAGGCTCCTGAGGGAGTGTGGCCTGCTCTGTTAGGCTGCAGCTCCTGATCTACCAAGGACATATATTATCTGAAAAATGGATATGGGAATGCCCCACTTTAAAAAGGAATCACTTGTTAGGGCATTGTGGCTCATGTTGTAATTCTGTCACTCCAGATGCCAAAACAAGAGCATTCCAGAGAGTTCCAGGCCAGCCTGGGCTGGAGTGTGAGGCCCTTTCTCAGAAAACAATAGGTAGGTAGCTAGTTAAGTAAATAGGGATGTTCTTTTTTCTATTAGGGACACTTAGGTTAGTGTTTATTAAACACCCAGTTATAGTGCTGTAGGATTGTGATTCACAAACTGATAGTTACAACCCTTCTCAGCCATGCATCTTTTCAGATTCAGCCAGGAGGCAATTACTGACCTTTAGACTTTTTTACTTTTAAAATGGGAACAGCAGTATACCTGTGAGCAGTCTTAATGATTCAGTCTTTCCTTCAGCAAATATTTATGAAGTGTGTACTATGAGCCAAGCATTGGTCCAGATACTGAAGATAATGCAGTAAACAAGGTCCTTCCTCAGAGTCTATCTTGCAGTGTGGAAAACATCAATACAGATAAAGATATATCAATGTCAAGTACTTTGGTGATAAGCACTAACAAGAATAAACTGAGGAAGGTGAACACAGCAAAAATGAGTCTGAGGGCTCTGTGTTAGTGTTCAGAAACATAACTCTCATAGGGAGGGGAGTGATTGTAGATGTGGGCTTTAGTGAGGTAGAGCTTTGGGATAACAGGTTAAGGTGCAGAGGCCTTAGGGAGAGACGGAGTAGCATTCTGAAGGACCAGCAGGACCAGCAGGGAGGCAGTGATCCTGGAAGAGGTCGTATGTAAGCTTTCAGTTTTGAAACAACATAATTCATTACATTTCTAAATTCCTATTTAATCTTTATCAGTTGTCAATAGTTTTCAAACTGATTGACACATGCTGAAATTATAAAAGTATCCTTGGAATAAGTAGGCAACTATATTTCTTGGTCAAAGGCCACTACTAAAATTAATCCTACCATATCAAAAACGCAAAAACTATAAAAAATATCCTTTCCTTTTTTTTTTTTCTGGATGGATTGAATTATTGCTAACTTTCGGAGTCACAGTGTAAATTAATCTTTGAAACAGATTTCTTGGCCTCCACCAGTTCTAATTGCTTTTGTGAAGATCCATATTTTAATAAGCGATTTCAAAGCATACATAGGCAATTCATTTTCTTACATTCAGCCAAAGAACAAAACATAAATATAAACTTGTTTTAAATGACACATTAGCTACCAAACAGCGTTTTGATTTTTTGGTTTTTGTTTGTTTGGTTTTTTTGAGATATGGGTTCTTTGTGTAGACTTGGTTTTCCTGGACCTCGTTCTGTAGATCAGGCTGGCCTCGAACTCACAGAGGTCCGCCTGCTTCTGCCTCCCAAATACAGGGATTAAAGATGCGCTCCAGCACCGCCTGGCTATTTTCTTTTGTTTAAGGTAAAGCTTTTTGTTGAGTATAACAAACCTTAACATCAGGGGTGCGGAGGGGTGGGGGGAGGGGTTGTGTTACTTATTAAGGGAGCCAGATGCCCTAGAGAGTGGAAGGAGCCTATTTCGCCCAGCGATGGAGCTAGTGCCCTCGAGGACCTACTTGCATTCTCACCATTCGGACCACCGAGATGGAGCATGCCTCAGTTCGTCTGCGGACGACACCTGAGTTGCATCTAAAGCACCTCAATTTGAGAACCCCAACTGACTCCAATCCGCTGCGCAAATGAGGCGAGATTCTTCAGATAAGCCCTGACCTGACAAAGACCGATGGATTCAGCTTCTTCCGCCCTTTTCCAAAATGGCTGCTGTCGGCGGTGGGGATGCTGCGCCCGCAGCCCGCGGAACCGGAGCGGAGGTGATGGGGGCGTGCCCGGGGCGGGGCCGGCGGGCGCCGCGCGCTGATTGGCCGCCGCGGCCGACCGGCCTCCGGCGCTTGTCCATAGCGGGCGCCGCGGCCTGGGGTTGGGATGTGACGGGCAGTGGGCTCCCGGCTCCTGGCGGTGACGGCTTTGAGCGGCGGCGACTGCGGCTCAGGCAGGCGGGTGAAGCCAGGACGCCGTGGGCTGCCGGCCGAGAGGGCCGCGGGATGAGGAAGCGGACCGAGCCCGTCACCTTGGAGCATGAGCGCTGCGCCGCCTCAGACTCGTCCTCCTCCGGCTCGGCCGCCGCGGCGCTGGACGCCGACTGCCGCTTGAAGCAGAACCTGCGTCTGGCGGGCAAGGGGCCGGCAGAGCCGCGCAGCGCAGCGGACGGGGGCATGAAGCGGGCTCTGGGCAGGTGAGACGCGGCGCGGGTACACCTCACCTGGCAGTCAGGTAGTCCCAGGCTCCCACCATCCAGGCTCTGCTGCGGGAGCATCACACGGTCCCATCCGCCCGGCGTCCTCTTCGACCCTTCTTCAGACTCCCTTCCCTTGTCTGGCCCGCAGGGACCGTCCAGCCCCATTCCTCTGGAACGTTCCTTCCAAATCTCACTTCCGTGGTGTCCACCGCATACGGGGCTTCTCGCTAACCCACCCAGCACCCTGGCATCGTGACCCTTATCCAAGTTAGCTCGCGGGGATACTCAGGGACCGGGTTAGTAGTAATCAGGGCCGAGTAGTCCTGACTGGCTCTGGAAGAGTCTCCCGGGGAGTTAGGAAGGCTGCTGGTAAGAAAGGGGAGAACCGTAGCCCCTGCAAATGCTGTTAGCCACTTCACCGGCTGCTTTGCCCTGACCTCAAACGGAGCTCACTCAAAAGCAGCGCTCCTCGGTCTGGGAAATTGACGGGTGCTTGGTCCTTCCCCTTCGGTAGTTCATCCAGGTTGTCGACCCTCTTTGGAGGGTTAAGCCGTTTCTAAAGTCCAAGGAAAAGGTTGGACGTATTCATTCTCAGCTGTTGGAGGGAACCGGTGATTGGCTATGCAGGTGGTTCCAGGCACTTGAAATCTGCACAGGAATGGGTCATTGAGAATCAATTTGTAAGGACTTGGGAGTCCTCTGGGGTTGGTCAGTTGGTTAGTTAGGTTTGCATCCTCCCTTTCGGTTGGAGAAGAGGCAGTTATGTAAAGCGATTTCAAAACTGAAATAGCATATTTCGTAGGGATAGGTTTCTTTCCCTCTATGCTGGTTTCTTAGTATGACAATTTGTAGATTATTACCTTTCTTGGCAGTTTTGTATTGATAGTTCATGACCAGATGTTAGTGTGCTATATTCCTAAGACAAGAATTGTAGCAGTCATTTCATTTTGCATCAGTTGAGCATTCCTTACTTACATGTAAAAACATTTACCCAAATAGAAAGAATCAGAGCTTACAGCTCTGTGCTTAAAAGACCATGAACTTAAACTACAGAGATCTCTTTAAGTCAGTGATTCTCAGTCTTGTAGAAGGGGGAGAACTGGCTGTGTTTTGTTCTGTTTTTGTTTGTTTTGTTTTGTTGGTTTTTCAAGACAGGGTTTCTGTGTGTAGCCTTGGCTGTCCTGGACCCGCTCTGTAGACCAGTCTGGTCTCAAACTCACAGAGATCCACTTGCCTCTGCCTCCCTGAGTGCTGGGATAGCAGGCATGCGCACCTGTGCCTGGCCCCGGGTTTGGTTTTGTTTTGTTTGTGGGTAAAATTCACTAGGGGTAGGTGTGATTGCCTAGCTAGTGAAGGCTCCTTAAAGTGACTTAAGTGATTTAATGGTGGAAGGAGAGAACTGTCTCCCAAAAGTTGGCCTTTAACCTCCATGCAATTCACCTAACATACATGCACACAAAATAGACGTCTTACAGATAATTAAAAATTAACTAGCATGTGATTAATCTCTTGAAAAACCGATATACTCTTTCTCTTAAGAAAAGTGTACATTAAAAACCCTTCAAAGCTCAATTACACTTTATATGCTTTGCATATGAGTTAGATAACTTAGAAATTCTTCCTTTGAAAAATCAAATTGCTATGCACAGTAATGTTTGGGGGAGGCTCTGACACCTTCTTTGTATTAAAAGGACCTGATTAATATTGTGGGACAAAGAGAAGCATTCAAGTGGTGCCCACATCCTCTGAATGAATAGAGGCTTTAGGGGAATAAAGCATAATGAAGGAAGGCCAGATTAGAGTATTACTCCATAGCTTTCCTTTGGGTTGTCTTTGCAAGACATGCATGTGCTTCCCTTGGGCCAGCCCAGCCCTGCTTATCTTATCACCTGTCTGACATTGCAGTTGCTATAATTGCACGCATACTTGAGTTGCTTTACCTGTCTCCTCCCCAACAAGAATGGGAATGCAAAGAGAGCAGGTTGCTTTCTCCACCTCTGGATCCCGGTGCCTGTCAAGTGGTAGGTGGGAAAAGATGCTTGTTGAATAAATGAGTATCTATGGAATTAATTCCTAGAAGTGGAATTGGTGGGCCAAAGGGCGTGTTTATAACTGACAGGTAAAGCCAAAGTACACACTGAAGAGTTAGTACTGATTGTGACCTCTATCAATGGAAGTTGCCTGCCTGTAAGACAGTATATAATCACTACATTTTTCATCTTGCCTATTTCTTTTTTTAATTATTTCTTTTTATTTTACGTGCATTGGTGTTTTGCCTGCGTGTATGTCTGTTGGTGTCAGATCTTGGAGTTACAGAAGTTGTGAGGAATTGAACCTAGGTCCTCTGGAAGAGCAGTCAGTGCTCTTAACTGCTGAGCCATCTCTTCAGTCCCCTTGCCTATTTCTTTTAACTCCTTTCTTTGGATACTTCCAGATACATGAAAGTGGAGAAAACCTTATCATGACCCTCTGTCACACACTTTCAAGCTTATAGTGTTTGGAGGTCTTGAGTCAGCCCTCTTTTTTTTTTTTTTTCCAGGGTGGGAACTAGACTGTTTTTAAGCACATTTTATTTATAAGCATTTTAGGATAACGTGAACAAAAAGACTGATCTGAAACAATGTGGTAGTGGAAGCACCATATATCAACTTTGTATAATATCTAGTCTGTACACAAATTTCCCAAATTCTCAGAAATGTCTTACTGATGAGTTTATCCTAAAATTCTGTTTTTTTCTCTTTCTTTACTCCCTACCTATCTACTTCCTTTAAAAACATTCTGTACATTATTTTTATTTGTTTATCATTCTGTGTATGTATGATATGTGTGTGGAAATGCATGTGCCCTGTGAAAGGTCAGAAGACAATTTTGTGGAATTTGTTTTTTCCTCCTACCTTTATATGGGTTCTAGGGTCGCACTCAGTTCTCTAACAACTGCCTTTACTGGGCGTGTCATCTTGCTGGTCTCTCCTATACGTATTTATCCTAACTATTTGTTTTTTATTGTTGAAAATAGGATCCTTTATCATAGCATATATTCTTATTGTATTAGCTCATAACTAGTAACTTATTATTTCTCATAGTTTTTACAGTTACAGCTCTGATGGTCGCTGCATGTACTAAGAATTTTTTCCCCTGTCTTCCAGTTCTTAGATCACTTGTTTCTTTGTCGTTTCTTATTCATGGTATTTCCCAATAGAAAGCTAAGTACTGTTGATGATTCTGGACATCTTTGACTAGTTCATGATGTTACTGACAGCCAAGTACTTATGGGTGATACTGAACACCTTGATTAGTTTTATGACTTTATGACAGTTAAGTACTTGGCACTTTCTTGACTTTACTGACAGTGCTTTTGGTGTTCTTTTGCCATTGATTGTCATGCTAGTTATTTTGCTAAGGGTTGTGTTGCTGGTACTGCTTTAAAATAAAAAATGGTAGCTGGATTTTTTTAAGTACCCATTTCAGCATCTGTGGCAGGATCATAGTGCCTTTCTCTTTAGTATAGCAGGTGATAGATTTTTTTTTTTTTTTACTATAGAATCTTTCCATCTTATAGATAAGTAATATTATTTACAATTCTATTGGTATTTTATTTAGAAATTGCACATTATTATTTGTAAGGCTCATCTAAAATTTTCTCTTTTTCTTCAGTACTGGAATAATGAACAATTTCTTAAAAGAGTTACTGTATTTTTAATTATGTGTATGTGCAGTGAATGCAGGTGCCCAGGTGAGGGGCATGGGATCTCAATAGCTGGAGTTCCGGGAGGTTGTGAGCAATGCGACATGCTGTGGAGAACTGGTCCTCTGCAAGAGTTGTACATGCTTTTAACCACTGAACTATGTCTCCAGCTCCTGAAACTTCCTTTTGAAATGCTGTCTCTATCAGCTGTTTTAGCATTATCTGTAGCTTATTTAAAAGTTTTCTCTGGCCAGGCATAGTGACCTGTGGGGGCTGAGGCAGAGAAAGGTGCTTAAGCCCAGGAGTTTGGGGCCAGCTTGGCCAATGTGGGGGTGGGGTGGGGGTAGGGCTCTCTCTTTCTCCATGGAAGACAGTTTAAACTACTTTGTGACAGAATTTTAAGTAGTCCAGGCTATCTTCTAATTCTCTGTAACCAAGGATGACCTTGAATTCTTGGTCCTCCTGCCTCAGCCACCAAATGATGGAATTTCAAGCCTCTACCATCAAACCTGGCTCAATTCAAAATACCTAGAAAATTATCTGTTACTTTAAAATATGTAGAATTCCCAAACAAAACTGCCTAAACGTGGAGCTCTTTTAGCATATTGCAGTATTATAGACTGCTCTAGGCCCTCAGTGTTTGGGCTTTACTACTTTTGCTTACTTACATGTTCATGGAAAATCATCAAATCATTTACTTAATTTAGCTTCACCTCTCTATCTAAGGCTATTTTCCTAATATTATTGAACATTTCCTGTCCTCCCCCTTGACTTAGACTCACTGATTTACATCTAGAGGTGTATGCTAGAATTTGAGGAAATATCCCCAAGAAAATATTCGTTTCTTGCCCTAGGAGGGCTGGAGGATGCCAAGGATCCCTAGAAGTGATTCAGTACCTGAAGGGTGAAGTAGCCAGTATGTCCTGTCTTGTTGGTTTCTGTGGGGTATTGTGTTTTGTATATAGTCTAATCAAGTTTTGTTTTTTTTTTTAAACCCATTGTAGTTAATTCAGATGAAAACAATTTTGAGATCAAAAGCCCCCATTTTGTTTGTTTAAAGTTCTGGGTGGGTTAGGGGGTGATTTTAAAAGGTAAATATTGATATAATTAATATAGGAACTTTGTACTCTCTGGGAAGAGTAATAATAATTTGCTTTGATGAGCGGAGATGGAGGGCAGATGAAGGATTTTGTAGGAATTTCTTTTCTTTCTTCTTCTTGTAGCCCTGGAATTCCTGGAAAGTACAAGTGTTCTAACTTGGACCCTGAGAAGGCACACATGAAATGTACAGGAATGGGCTTTCTCCTTCTCT